TTCTCTCTTTCTCTCTCTCTCTCTCTCTCTCTCTTTTTTTTCCTGTCTGTCTGTCTCTCTCTCTCTCTCTCTCTCTGGACAAGACTGAACGAAGAAAAATGCACTCAGTGTACTTTTACGCTGAAAAAGCAGTCTTGCCCTCCATTGTACATCAACAACAAAGAGATACCAATTTCCACTCAAGTCAAATACCTGGGACTATATCTCGACAGCAGACTGACGTGGAATCCCCACACAAGACTTAAAAAACAGCAACTTAATACAAGACTTGGACTACTACGAAGACTTTTAAGACCGAAATCGACTTTCACAATTAAGACAAAACTAACACTATACAAGACTTTACTAAGACCAATATGGACATATGGAGTAGAATTGTGGGGCACTGCCAAGCCTTCCAATATCCAGCGCATCCAGTCCTTCCAATCGAAAGTCGTTAGACAAATTGTTAAAGCACCCTATTATGTCACTAACCTCACTATCCACAAAGACCTCAATATTCCTTTTGCCAACGAACTAATCCAGTCCAGATTCCAAACCTTCCATACCAACCTTTCAAACCATCCTAACCATACGGCTCGAGCCCTATCCACTCATTCCCATCCTGACAACCCACCACGACGCCTCAACCGACGATGGCCTCGGGACCTCCTTGATCCCTAATCATATAAACTGAGTGCCAGCAATGGCTGGCTCCTCAAAGCATGTGTCCTACCGGTGCAGTGCTGGCACTAGTGCTAGTGTTGTGCTGTGTGATATTTCATGCATGTGTACATATTTGTATAGTATACAATTCTGTATAGGTAACAAATAAATAAATAAAATTTAAAAAAAAAATCTTAGTTTGAATCGTTTATTATTGAAATATGTTAATGTTATCGTAAAATTCACCTTTATTATATTGTTCAAAACATACTTCTATGATAACATTTTATAGTATGCATTTGAGTTAAGTCAAAACGACAATCATTTTCTCTCTCTCTCTCTCTCTCTCTCTCTCTCTCTCTCTCTCTCTCTCTCTCTCTCTTTCTTTCTCTATTTATCCATCTTTCTCGGTCTCTCTCTCTTACCCTCCCTCCCTCCCTATCCCTCCGCGCAGATGAAAACTTTATTTAGAAAAGTGCAACATATCACGTTAAGATGTCTGACTAAAAGATTTGGCCTCAAGAAACGGTTCAAGACATGATTCATTCCTCTATCATCGTAATTAATATGTAATCTTTGTTAGTTCAATTCCTACATAGTTGCCTTTCCAAGTCCGTATTTTCGCACAGACTCCACTTTCAACCCCGTTGCTAATCTTCTAAGAAATGGATCGTTATCTAGGCGCTTTGAAAGGCAATAACATAACAGAAGTTGAAGATGGTTTCACAAATTCCTGCCGTTTAACAACAAAGTCGCCTCAGAGACGACTAACCCACTCGAATTTATGTAAATTGGATCTACACTCGACTTGGAAACAACCTTCTCCGTTTTCTCCAGAACGTTACACCTTGGATTATGTTCATCTGAATTTTTATGCGCGTCGTATACTACCTGAGATTTAAATGTATCAAAAGCGGAAAAAGAAAACGTGTTCATTTTTTTTCGGAAATCAAAGTGTCTCACTGAAGATTGTGCAATGCCGAAACGCGTATAACTAACTCAAACAAAGCAACCGCGAGTGAAGACAGACCCACTGAGTGGCCGTGTGACGTTTCAAAACTACATTGGGTCAAAAATTATCTCACTTAATTTTACCCTATTGTTCCATGTTACTAACAGGAAGGATAAATTGAAACTGATTAACATTTCGGTGAAAGTGTTTCTAGGAAAAAATAGATCGTGAGAATATGATTTGTAATGTGTATAGAAACGGTTCATTAATCCCAAACCTAGTTTAGAGAAAAAAATTTCTTTACAAATGCTTCTTCTGAAGCAATATTTAAATGCACGAGGAAAAAAGAAACCTGCCATAATTATTTACTACAAGAAAAATGAAAAAATATGTATTTTGGCCAAACTTGATTTTTTGAGTTTAAAATATAAATGCATGTTATAATAATCCTAACGTTAAATCTTAGTTTTACAAATATGTGTTTATTTAATAATTCTTAGAAATTTTCCTTATCGAGCAACTACGACTCAAAATAACAATATGTAATCGTACTGATCATTACCCGCCAAAGGAACTCATAAGAGAAAATTAAGATAGCTAAAAGACAGAAAGCTAAATGGCATGATCAATATAAGACAGATTTACTGGCTAGATGGTAAACTAAGTTTTGGTCCAACTGGTCACTGCTGGCTGGAGGGATCAACCCAAATGGCCCAGATATTCTGGTTCTCTGCCCGAGCTCAATTTCTACTATGTGATGGAAAAAGGTGTTCGGCAGAAGTTACAGTTGTTTTGTTTTAAACTACAGCTTTCTGGAATTTTTATTAGGTTTTTGTCATATTTATGTCGAATAGTCCTTTTGGGCCGGACCACATATCGCCATGTAGTCGAATTGCGGTTTCCGAACTTATAGGACAAAGCGACAGTGACTAAAACGAGATTTAAATGACTCCTGCGTAAATCGAAATAATTTTCTGAATTTAATGACCATGTAAACGAAACAAAACACAATTTCAATTTAAATTGAAATGCAACAGTTTCAACAAAGGGAGAACTAAATTGGTTTAAACATTTTCAAAAGATTAATTAAGGTTTTTAGTTGAGATAATGTCTTATACATATACTGTATGTACTAATGTATACAGATGTCTCTAAGACCTAGCCATGGGTCAAAAGCAGGTTCTGAAGAGATAAACCAAAAACCGGAATTAAAAGTCCGAGTATTACAAACAAAAGAATAGCCATCTAAAGCCAGTCGAACATTAAAGGCAACTATCTGATCGGTAGAAGAGTGCAGAGACATTTGGGAATGTATCAAGGCCCAAGATATTGAAAAAAAATTACCATTGTATGGGTACTAGGACATACAAGGCAAAGGGGCAATAAGAAGGTCGATAAACTGGTCAAGGAAAGTTTGATGAGGACACCTATCTGCACTGAATACTTTTGTACCAAATTTGAAAAAGCTTATATCCATCAGACAGTGGATTAAGGATAACGCCCCTGTTACTTGGGAATGGGAAAAAAAGAATGACTTAGAACTCGAATGATATAGGACTGACTGGACACTGCAGACTCTGCAGGCATATATATAAACTTGGAACAGCAGAAATAAGACTATGTAGAAATTGCCAGGAAAAATAAGAAACAGCTAAATAGGTCTTCTGTTGGTTGGAAGGCTGAAATTCGTTTTCCTGAGAGAAGAAAAGGCAAGTCAAAGCATTGCAGAATAGACCAATACGGGTCGCGGTGCGCGAAGTTTTAAAGAAGCCTCCTGCTTGATTTTTAAGCCAAAATTACATTGCTGCTATTACAGATTATCGGAATTCAGATTCCCACCTTAGTGGTGTTCGATTTTTGGTTTGTAGGAAGGCTAAACAATGTTGTTAAATTCACTAGTTTTCGTGGTCCGCTTGACCAATTAATATTTTTTAATTAATTAAGGTTTTTAGTTGAGATAAAAAAGTCAGTGTCACGAGCGGGATTCGAACCCACGATCTTCGGCTAGATACGCCGCTGCTCGACCACTTGAGCTATCGTGACTTCGATCTCCTCGGACACTAACTTCCCATCTCAACTCCACATTTGAATTTTCCCTCCTTTTTGCCATTTTTCAAATATCGAGTAATCATTTGATTCTCGGCGACAAATGAAATGGCCACGGAGAGCTTTAGTGAGGGAGAGGGGAGATAGTAGAGTAGGTAAAATGCAATTTTTATGCAAAAAAATCAGTATTTTATTTATTTATCTGCTTAAATCATACCAAATTGGAATATTCTGTGTGGTATTTGTAGAACATTTTTGCTTTTATTTAGCCAACAATGAAATTAATACACCAATTTTTTTTTTTTTAATTTTTAAATAACGATTTACGTTCCGACCGGAAAAATCGATAAATTTTAATTCGAACAAAAATTTATATTTAAGGATCTCTAGAGATGGTAAAACGAAATTTCATATTAGTTTTGAGAAAAATGTTTATGACTGCTTACTTGAAAAATATTTGGTTTTTAGAATTTTTTTAGTTATTTATAAACATTGATAGTTAGGGCTCGCTAGCTTTTTGTTCCCTGATATGCAAAACCATAAATTTTAATATTAGTCTCATGAAAAGAGTATGACTTAGTTTACTTGAAAAATATTTGGTTATTGATAAATTTAATTTATTGAATTATTGATAAACTATTAGTATATTTTGATTTCAGCGAGTGGAAAGACGAAAGAAAAATATTAAAACGCGAAAAAGTTCAATTCTCCCTCTTAAGAGATGCTAAACCAAAAATTTCATATTAATCGCACGAAAAAATTATGGCTGTTTACTTGAAAAATATTTGGTTTTTAGAAATTTTTTGGTTATTGATAAATAACTACTAATTTATTACTATATTTTTTATTTCAATCTACATAAAAAATGTTGTTAAATGGTATATTCACATAGTAAATTTGAGCGAGTAGAAAGGCGAAACAAAAATATTAAAAACCGAAAAATTTCAAATTTCAAATTTTTTGGCAAAACCCGGGCCTATTCACAAGAGATGGCGGATAAATTTCTGACATTTTGGAGTCAATGGTTGTAACCAAAAAAAGTTTGAACCAAATCCGGGACCCGCCAACCTTGTTAATTTCGGTGTAAGAGATTTTATTGTTCCTGAAAAATCCATCCCAATTCGTAATTAAAAGTTTCCCGGGTAAATTCTCAGTCACTAAAGAGTCAAGAAATATTCATTTTTTCCTTTCCTGCATCATTATTTACATAGAAAAGTAAATAATATATAATATAATGGCGTTTAATTTTTGTCGTAAATTGTTTAGTTGTAAATTTATTATTTTAAACGAAATTAAACTTTAATCGTATCCGATTGGTCATGGAGGCTGTGAACAATTTGGCTCGAATCGGCAAAGAGGGACTGAACTCTCAAGTGATAAACCAACCTGTTGACACACGATTCTTGATAGTGAGTGAATTTGTTTATAATTTATAATCTGTTGTTCATGGAAAAACACAATGACTAAACAAAACAAAGGGGAGGAAATTGAAGTCATTTTCGTGCCCGATGAGGACGTCGGCGTGGTCGTTGACTGTTTCGCCAAGTCAAAAACGGCCGAGAATGAAAGCAGGACGAGTTAGTGTTGTTTTTTGAAGTCAGTATTTTTTGGGGGTTTTCTTGGTTTATTGTATTTTTGACTCTTTCAGAAAGGAGATTGAACGCTACTCCGAAGAGGGATGAAACGCCGAAGACGATTTTGACCAAATCTGGTCGAAAGGTCGTTCCTAAGTACAAAACACTGAACGTCTCTCTTCTCGCCGATCCAAAATCGGACGACTCCGCCTCGGAAATAAGCGACGTCGAGCCTTTGGACGACTGCGAAAAGCCGACCGGTAGTACATTTCAAATATGCTCAAAAATTCTTTACTTTTATTTTACTTTTTCCCTTTTATATATTAAAAATAAAACATACGGTTGTTTTTTGTTGTTTTTGTTTTTTTTTTCATTTTGAGTTTCTTAATTCGGTTTTGTTACAAGCAACAACAAAAAAACAAAAAAAACGGGATGACCTCAAAACCCTAAGTCCATGCATTGTTCCTTACTGCTTGGTTTTCTTGTTATTACGCAGAAATGCTTCCTTGGCCTTTGGAAGACTCGCATCCTATTTATGAACAAGTAGATACAAGGATAGGTAAGTGACGATTCATTTCAACACAGGCTCAAGGTTTTCCTTAAAACGATACGAAATTTTCAAGACAATGCGATTTACAATCCCTTGCCCTCTTCTTGTGTTCAATGGGCCTTTCTATTAAGGTACGCACTCCAGCAAATCTCGGCCAAACAAAGACAAATTACATATAGGGGTGAACGTTGGTTGCCAACACATTGGCCATCCTTGGATCATCCAAAACCAAAGGGTTGGAGCCAAGGGATTCTGCAAAACTTCCAGTAATGTTTTCTCTTTTTCACTGCGAAAATATGTCAATAAAGATTCCATTTTCTTTTTCACATCGTTCGCACTACACAAGCTCACTTGTTTCCCGTCAAGCATCTAATCTTTTCAATTTATTTTAATATTCACAGTTCGTAGGCCCATAAACATTCCTGTTCACGCTAAAATTCGATCAGTTTTTAGTGCAGTCTCATTATTCTACTCCATATTCCAGCGTTTTTCAGCACAAGAAGAATGAACCAACGAATGAGCTGGTGTGTTCATTAGAAGGAGGTCTTAGGCCAACCGCTTCCTTGCTCTGATTTGCCCTCCGTACATACTAAGCAAACAAAGTCGATTGTCTTTCGTTTGCCGAGATTTGTTTAGTGCGTTACAAAACAGAGAAATTTCTGTATTGCAGTCATTCAATATTGAAAAGATTGAATGAATAATAGCTGTTTGAATTGCTTTCAACCTATTTTAAGGTCATCATCAGGGAAAAACAATCTTATACTGTTGAGCATCGACCACTTTTTCACTCACGAACACTCTGGATCAAGTTGGTCTGAAGACTGAACTTAAGTCCTTGGTAATGTTGGGACTGAGTCTGTCTTCAAGGAAATTTGAGATCACCTGTGAAAACTAATATGTCAATCTGCATATAAAATAGTTTTGTCTTGACGATGACCTTAAAATAGGTCAAAAGCTTGGCAACAACTGAATTTGCTTTCTTCTTCAAGTCCATACCTTGATCAAGTGTTCATGAGTGAAAAAGTGGTCGATACTGAAAATGGCTGTCAGATCATTGCATGATTGTCTTTGAGACCATTCTTTGTAATTAACGGTATCACACCCCCTTATAGGACAAATGAATCATGTGTCATCTCTGAGTTACCTTTCAAGATGCATTAATAATTCATGATTATTTACACCGAAAGGTAACTTAAATAGGTACTACTGGAATCCTCATCAGGTTTCATTCTGCGATGTAAGAGGTTTTTTTCCATTCAAAATGTTCAACCTGTTTGCTTTCTTCCTAAACCACCAAAAAAATGTGTCTTTGATTTCTTCCCAGAGTTGACTTCTATTCCACTTTACTCTGTGAAAGAACTTTCCTCTTCTTTTTTTCAATAACTTCTTCCTTACAATCAGGTTCTTTGTAAACTTCACACCATAAGGACTATATTTGTTTTCACTTCCAGCCTCAGAATCCATTTCAAAAAACAGTTTTTAGATTTTTTTCCTCCTCCATTATTATTATTTTTTTATTATTTGTTTACTTTTTTATTATTATTGGGGCATTTTTAGTAAAATACTCGAGACATAAACTTTTTTTCTGTTTAGTTTCTCGTTAGCCAAAAAGTTTTGATATATCATCTAACAGGATACAAATATGAGTTTAACTTTTTCTAATTGCAAGATACTGTTTGGACCTTGAGTTTTTTTTTTTTTTTTTTTTTTTTTTAACTCTGAATTCAATGGTGCTATAGCTCTTTACGATGATGACAATGCACTTGGGAAGCAGCTTTTTGGTTTCCAAACGCCTCGTAAAAGAGACGGTATGCTTCAAAAGGCGTCAGAGACTGTCGGCCAGTTAGGCAAGGGCAAGGAAACACCACAAAGGAGGACAGAACAATCTAGTGCAAAGACACCACATGCTGCTAGGACGAAAATTAAAAAAAGTACACAGTTTTAATTAATCATTTAGTCAGTTTGTATTCAAATGTGTTTTTCCAGGAATCATTGAAGAAGCTACAAGGCAAAAATTAGATAAACTTTTAGAAGAAAGTGAAAGCGATTACTTACCTACCACCTCTTCAGACTCTGATGAATCTGATAGTGATGCTGACGAAATCCCGAGTATAAGGACATTGCAAATTGCCGAATCTTCAAAAGTCCAATCTCATAAACCAAGAGGAGAAATAAACCATAATTTTGTATGTGTGTTTATTTCTATTATAGTGGCATTAGAAAGAAAACATTATTTGTATTTCAGCTGTTTACTTCGGATGAGTACTTTGAAAGAAAAAATACACGTTCAGTAACTTCAAATCACACTTTAAGCAAGTTGAAAAATCCCAAAATTCAACAAGATCAGCTGACTTCTCTTTTAAAAAGCATCAATCCTACTCATGAAGCTGCTTTGGGTGATTTACAAAGCTGTAATCAGTCGATGTTCAAACGATGGTTGTTCTCAATGAGGTGAATTTTATTTTATTTTTGTATTATTTAAAGTTATTATTTTTATTTAATTTTTTAGTGAAGGTTATAATGTATTGGTGTATGGGGTCGGTTCGAAGAAGACTCTACTAGACCTCTTTAGAGATTTGTACCTTAGGGATTGCCTCACAATCGTCGTAAATGGATTTTTCCCTGGAATAACTGTGAAACCTGTAATTTTTGAGTTTCCTTATTTAAATAAGATTTCATTCAAAGATCAGTGCGCTTAAAATTCCAGATATTGGACTGCATAGCTGTAAACTTACTGAAAATAAATAATTTACCAGCACTGCCACACGAAGTGCTCGAAGCTATCGCAGAAAAGCAGAATTCATCAGTTATAAACCGGGTATTTATTATTGTCCACGCCATAGATTCTGGACTTTTAAAATGTGAAAAGAATCAAGGAATCCTCTCACGACTTGCAAGCCTCCCAAAGGTACACATGATCGCCTCGATGGACCACATAAATGGCCCTCTGAGTAAGTTTTATTCCCATTTTAAAACAAAAATTAATCATAACAAACATTCATACTAATTTGTTTGGTTTTTATCAAAATTTAAACTATAAACTCATAAAATATTTTGTTCTTTTAACCATTCATTGTGATTGAGAAGTCTTGGGTATTAATTAAAGTCTATATAAATGATTTTATAGTTTGGGATCAGAAAAAGTTGAGCGATTTCAACTTTGTTTGGGAGGATGCGACAACTTTTGAGCCATATTTGGAAGAAACGAGTTTCGAGTCTTCATTGATGGTTCAAAGATCTGGGGCGATTGTTTTGTCAGCTCTCAAAAACGTGTACCAATCTCTCACCCGCAACACGCGCGAAGTCTTCAAAATATTGCTTAACCACCAGCTCAATTACACCGGGAGGCAATACCCAGGTAAAGAAATTAATAGGATTTTTCACAGGGTTTATTTGTGTGAATGTATGTAGTGTTGTAATGTTGATATGTGTAATCTATTGCCCTCGTATCCATAGGTATGCTGTTTTCCGAACTGTACAGGCAGTGCAGGGATAGTTTCATTGTGAGTTCGGACCTCGCACTCAGAACGCAGCTCACTGAGTTCATCGATCACCAAATTGTCAGATGGAAAAAGGATACAGATCACTTGATTATTCCCATAGAAAACCCAATCCTGAAACAATTCCATGGTGAAATTATTGAAGAGTATTAAAATAAAACAGTCATTTTTTTATTTTCACTTTATTATTTATTTATTGTTTGTTACTATTAATTTTGAATTTTCTTTAAAACAATTGGTTCTAAAAAACATTACTTCCATTTGTTTTACTTTTTATAAAATGCCTTATTTCTTAAACATCTTGAATTTATGTTCATAGATTTGTACTGAGTTAAAAAAAAATATATATATCTTGTTGTTTAAACATTAGTTAAAAATGTATGGTCGAAAACAAATAAATAGCAATAATTATTTGTTTGGGCCAAACCTTCATTCTCAAATATTTTAGGATTCGTGGTAAGTAAAATAAATGAGATGGCTATAACGGTAAATATGAGAGATCTATGGAAAGATCTGTCAACTTTGACAGATCCTTCCATAGATAATAGAGATCTTTGGAAGTAAGAAAGCCCCAAGTTTTCGAAATGGGCCCTAACATGTACACAGATGGAACAGTGAGTAGGTGTAAGGGTAAAAGGACCCAACTATACCCTAGCAAAGCCCTGTGGTCTAATCCTAAAATTCACGCAATACATCTCAGTAGTACAGGAGTTAATATGAAAAATGTGAAAGGTATGCAGATCTACATATTTTTTGACATTCAGGTTTCAACTTCAAACTTGTCTGGGAATGCCTAATGGCTCTGGGAAAACAAGATAAAATGGGTCCCAGAAAAAAATGAACAAGCTGAACCCTCTCACCCATGGGACCACTAGGTGCACTGGTGTATATATAAGTTGGAACAGGAAAAATGGCTTGAGAAAGAAAATCTCAAGCATTGAACAAAAGCACCAAATACGGGGCAAGCTAATTTCAGACCTTGTCTTTTCTTCTCCCAGAAGTAGGAATCTCATGCAGCAGAGGCCTTTGTACAACAGAGGACATGTTCCGCTATTTTTTCTTCATCATGGCAATGTTTCTGCCACTCCGAGTGTCTGATCAAGTGGACTGTATGGGTTTAAAATTAAACTAAAATAAAATGAATTATCAAATAAAAAGGAAATAAAGCACTCACCTCGGGTGATGATCGTCCAGCTACCTCAACTGAAGTAAAGGGGGATGCAAGGAGGAAAATGGTCGGAAAAGACAGGAAAAGTCGGGACAGGGGACCTTCACCACGCAGATATCTCAGGAACCTCACCAACCGGAGCGATGACGACGATAAATTCATCAAATGAAGACAATAAACGAAATAAAATAAACTTTAAACTGGGCCACGATTTATAAAAATTACAATGACTCAAGACGACGACACGACGAAATCAAAACTCGATCTGGCCGACGACGAGGCCGGAAACGTGGCGGGGGGTTTTCCGAAATCTTATCCGAGTAATCCTTACGGCGTAAACACCGAGTCTAGATATGCATTCGGAGTCTGCAGTTCTATCATTCTATTCCTAAGATGTCATAGTTTTAGTAGATCTGCCGTTAGTTTCTGCAATGGTTTTTTGATGATCTCTTTCTATGATCTACATTTTGACAGTTTGGTATGCCACAAAAAAGTTCAGGGATGACAGATGTCATGATTAAACTTTCCTTAGCCAATTACCATCTTTGAAGGCAAAATAGAACAAGCACATCTAAGCCAAGAGCACGGAACTTAGATTAAAATCAGCAAACTTTACTGGTCTTTAGGAAGCCCTCACTGTCAATGCGTCACGGAATACTAATCTTTATTCGAATGATTAAATCCTGTCTGGATTAACACCAATGATATTCCAAAAACACTCATTGCAAAATTTAAAAGTGCCAAATATTTCAAAGTGTCGGTGGCCACAACAGTTTAGGCGTTGACACAGTGGTCATCACTGTAAGGTAAAGGTCCCAGGTTCCAATCCAGCGGCCCTGCATTCCAACCCGACATACAAACAGGCTTTTTTTTCCCATCGGCACCCTGAGGGTAAATTTCTTGGATTTGGTAAATTTGTAACCTAGAACCTCCTACATTGGGACTTGAAAAATCCCTCATGTTGATGTACATGTATGGGGGTGAGGCAAAAATCTGATGTCTCAGCTAAAACTATAGTTTGCTTTAAAAAATACAAAGTATGACAACATAAATACCTAAATAAATATGCAGAAGCCACTCACCTAAAATTTTTAGGAAGAACCAAGCCCATCTTATGTTATGAATTTGATATTTAAATATTACCAATTATTTTATACTTAGGTATACTAGATTGTCTTGGACACCAATAGGTACTGCCAAGTTATTAATATAATTATGTACCCAGTATAAAATAAATAGTTATTTAATAATTAATGTTAGATCTCGTTTGTTTATGGTATCATATAATGGCTACAGATTTTTTTTTTTTTTTTTAGAGAATAATTTTAGTTTTTATGAAGATTACGCACCGTGCCGACGAGCTCCTTGTCTTAAGCTCCCGTCGTCCTGTTGCAGAAGCCGTCAGCGAGGGTCAGAATAGCGTACATGCCGAGTGCGACCATAAAAGCTATCATGAGAGGATAGACGTCGCATGGATCAATTAGTCCGAACACGAGCCCGTCCAGTTTACTGAAAAATCAAGCGTCCCGTTAATCTGGCTCATCGTTAACTCACAGACAATTAGTGAGATAATATAGGCATATCACAAGGAAATTGGCCAGTATCAGTTCCTCCCAAGAAGCCTGGCTAAAGTCCAAAATTGGTAGCTTATGATCCAGCCCGCGGTCCATTTATAAAACGGTCATGGATAAGTCGCCTAGTTCTCGTGTTCGTTTATTTAAATATAAGCCACCTGGTGGCTTTTTTAATTGTTTAAATTTCATTCATTTGGAGAATTAATTTCTTAAGTCTCGTAAAATGGCATAGGACAAGTTGAGAATGGCTAGGAGGAAAATAATCTTTGAAAAAGTGTCACCGTAAAGTGTATACAACTTAAAGATCTGTCTGTCAAGTACTGGTATCATTATTGTTCGCGTATTTACTTATTAAATACACATGTTTTTGTGTTAAACTCTTTTAAATATGACTTTTATATTGTATCAAAGATAACTAACAAAATTATAGAATCACCTAGTGTAAACCTAATTTTGTACGTTCGTCGTTTGAGTGCACTTCGAGATACAATTTCTAGACGACTGGCGATATTTGATCGAATGTCAGTTTTAAAAAGGGGTAAATGAAAACCTTAAGTCGTCTAAGCTATTTGAAGAAAGAAATTCCCTTTCAACGGCATAACTAGTAATAATGTCGATACGTACAAACATTAATTAGCGAGCGCAGTGTTCCTCGCATAGTTCTTGTAATAGTAGACGATTAACCCGGCAAGAACTATAGCTATACAGAATAAGAGAAATTCGTGGAAGTCATAACAACAATTTGCCATTTTGTGAAGTAAATGTAACCATCTGTTTTGGGCAAGGATTATTGCTATATTTCACTCGAGCTTTGAAAACCATGCAAATTGTCAACATCAAGGTGAAGCAAAAGCTTCATCATGAATAAAAGATTATTTGGTTTAGAGTAAAAAACCACACCCTTTTTAGGGATTGGGAACTTTTCAAATCGAGTGCCTTAGAATATACCTGCTTTTTTATTCCTGATGTGACTACCGCCACCGAAAATCTTTCATCTATAGATGTAGATCATCTTGTTTAAGCATTTACTATTTTGACCTAATTATATTCCGTTACTTCAACAATGATTCTCTTTTCACGTTACAAAGATTTCTTGTTGATTCCAGCACAGGGGTTGGCTTTCGTGGTAATGTCGTATCCACGTAGGAGTGAATTTGCACGAGCTGTTCCACAGGGGAACGCACCCTCGTTTTTCACGTAAGTCGTCGACGGAAGATTTCCACCACAAGGCCAGTTTATCTTTCGAGAATCCTTTTCGCCGCAGATAGTCGTGCCGACTCCTCCACATGGGTTGGCTTTTCTGCCAGTGCCATATTCGTTGTAGAGTGGATTTGAACGGACCTCTCCACAGGGCCCTGTATCATCGCGTTTTGTATAAGCAGTCGTGGTACGAATTCCTGCGCAAGGCCCGATTTTCTTTCCAGCGTCCTGTTCGCCAGAGATAGTCGTGCCGACTCCTCCACATGGGTTGGCTTTCTTGCCTGTACCATATTCGTTGTGGATTGGTTTTGAACGGACTTCTCCACGGGGCCCAGTATCATCGCGTTTTGAGTAAGCAGTTGTGGTACAAATTCCTCCGTCAGGCTCGATTTTCATTCCAGCACCGTTATCACCGCAGATATTCGTGCTGGTGACTCCTGCACCTCCTCGTGCTGGGTTAGTTTTCTTGACTGCCCCGTAATCATTTTGAAGTGGATTTGACCGAAGACCTCCCGAGAGCAATGTATTGTCGCGTTTCATGTAAGTCGCAGGACGATTTCCTTCGGAAAACCCGGTTTTCTTTCCAGCATCCTTTTCGGCGAAGATATTCATGCCGACTCCCGCACGTGGGTTAGCTTTGTTGATTCCATCGTAATCATTCAGGGTTCCGCATGGCCCTAATTTGTTTCTAGCATCGCTTTCTGTGTAGGGGGTATTTGTGTTGATTTGTGCACTGGGATTGACTCCCTTGGTTGCATTTATTAATGATTTTAAAGCAGGCTGGGTGTTGTCTAAGTGAGTGTCGGGTTTTTTGGAAGTGACGACTTTCTTTACGAGAGTCGTCGTATTAACCCCTGCTGGAGGCTTCACGTTCTTAGCCCCAACTGCTTTTTTCGGTGGCGATGTCGAACGAACCTTCCTTTTTTTACTACCGGACTTCGAACGCACCCTTTTGCTACTGCAAGCATTCTTTCCCACTTCGATTTCACTCGGTGCCGGCTCCGAACTAAGTCCTCCAAACGGCCGTGAACTCGCAAAAGCTTTGGGTTTCCTGCTTTTACCTTTTGACAGTTTGTAATCAGGTATCCTGCCGTTATTTTCGAAATCAATTTTTATAGTCCCTTTGTTACACGTAGACTTCGGCTGGGGTTCGTGCTCCCATATCAATCTTTGGGAACTTGTGTCATTACCCACTTCGACAATTATATTACTAGTGATAAGAGGCTCAGGTACTCCTTTATGTACAGGTGGTTGAATTGTATTCTGTCTCTGAACCTTTTCCTTATAGACGAATTTCGGGCTTACATCTCGCAAAATGTTGTATGTTGTTTCTGTCAGAGTCGGTTTATTAACTTCACTCGCTTTTTTAACATTCAAAGAAGCAGACCTGGACTTATGTATGCTAAACTCTCGTTTAATTTCGTGGTTGTCTCCAGCATTACACCCATCAGACGTAAGCTCTGCCGTCGTTATAGATTTCCTATCTGCTGATGGTTTTTTGCCAGTTGTTATAGATGAAATGTCACAATTCTCATCGCTATTGTTCGTAATGGTTAATTTACGAGGTGTCCTAGATCGACCTCTTTTCTCCCAGACGCTCGATGAGTTGACAGAAGTTTCATTATTATCACCTCCATCGGCTTCTGATGAATATGTTTCGGATTGTGGACTAATTGACTTACCTCTCGTAGATTCTTTCCTCTTTTTATCCTTGGTGCCTTCACTGCTAGTACTGTAGCTTCTGTCATACGAGGATTTCTTTGATTTACTTTTAAACCTTTTCTTTACGTTTGAAGATTCGTCTGTGGACATTTTCCCACTTTCTATACGACTCCGTGAACTGTTGGTAGGACTCGTAGGACTGCTGACACTTCTAGAATTGGACCCGTTTATGGACGATTGCCTTCCCGCTCCTGAAATTTCAATATACGCTTTGACAAGAATACTCAATAAAGTCAACCCCGCTATGAGGAACGCGAGGTCGTGGAAGTTACAAATTAGGAATAACAACGACATCGTTAAATTTCACAAATTTTCTTTCATCTTATCCGCACTTAAGCTCAAACCAAAACCGTACGAGGTCTCTTGTATCTAACGACACAACAAGAAATCCTTTTTATAGTTCTCCACATTTTAAAATACCATTAAACTGTGTAGAGCTAATCCTGGTACAGTTATCGAACAGCCTCGGTGGTTAACGGAAGGAGCTACACCCCCGACGGGGGTTGTTTCAATCGGAATTCCGGAAAACTACATATCTATTGTCAACACTTATGAAAATTCAATCATATGATTGAAATACTTGCCTCCGAAATCGTACTCAGAAGGAGAACAACGATCAGTGCCGCAATTATCACTGCCAATATGGCCAAACCAATGGAAATGCTACCGCAAGGGCAAGCCATGTTATATGTTTGTTACAGATACATGTGTTTGACTAAATACTCAGCTTTTATTCGATCTCAACGCTTCGATCGAATCGCATTAAAACTACGTGTAGTTTGTCAACAGTACAGTCTCAGAAGTTGCAGTAATCTTTTAACTCTGTGATAGTAAGAAGGTAAATCTGTACTTCTAATTCTGAACTACTTTTTTTTTTAACGGTACGTTTCTACTTACTACGGCATCTTGGCTGTTATTACTCGCAAGCAACTATCAGGATGAAGTACAGGAATGTAAAAACCAGCATGAAGAGCAATAAATTCCAGAAGACGTCTACATTATATGCTGTACATGTCATTGTTTTAGAAAGTGTGTCATATGCATTTGAACAGATTTCATTTGTAAAATTTCCATTAAAATTAGTTTTTTTTAGTATTAAAAGTATTGGTAGACGAACATTTTCTCTGACGCTTGGTTTGTTTTGTAAACAATTTAAAATGCGAAACGGTCATTTATTTACTTACTACAGTTACTAGATCTTCACAAAACTAGATCATGTTTTTTTACATTTAAAGATGTAACACTAAAACTAGTGATGTATTCTATCGGCAACTTGTTTTTTGAAATTTTCAGTTAAACTTCGCCGCCAAACATAACAGGCTATGGCTCTATTTGGTTGCATGTTAATTGAAAAAAATAAGAGATTATTTATCAAGATCCTCAACAGATTGACCAAAAGGTAGTGGAATCGTCAGTGGGTCGGATCGGCAAAGAAGCTCCTAATTATCGATAGCAAGATCGATGGGTGTCACTCGGAGGATCTGAATCGCAGAAGAAGCCACACTCGATTAAGAATAGGCCATTCGAGGTTGACGCACATGCGCAAGCTCTGGCCCAGAATTCAAGGTCATTTCACTATTGACAGAAGACTTCAGGATATTTATATTTTGTAGATAAGAATAGTCTGGACCTTTGTACGGTCTGGATGAAAAATTGAATTATCTGCAAGCTTTCGACCAATTTCAAGGTTATCATAAGGGAGAGGGAGCACTCTCAACACGAAGAAGCAAGAATGACACAATTACACAGAACACAAACACTTGAGCCCTGAAGATGATCTCAATAAAGATCGAAACGTTGGCACGATAAAGAAAATGTTTTTCTGAAACCTACATCACACCAGACAGCAACGATTTCTGAATAATTTTCGATTAACGGTCACCAACCACCACACACGTTTTGGTGGGTTGAGTCGGGCATCAAACATATATGAAACCAATTCTCTCCTAGTCTTATTATTAATTTCTTCCTAACCTACTATTTACCTGTCTATTCATCACTCTCTCTCTCACACACNTCCCTACTCTCCTCCCTTCCCTCTCTTTCCCACCCTCTCTTTCTCACCCTCTCTTTCCCACCCTCTCTTTCCCACCCTCTCCCTCTTTTTCTCTCGTATATTCATTATCTTTCCCTCTCTCGCTCTCTCTCCCTTCCCTCTCTTTATCTCGTCGATTCATTTTTTTTCTCTCCCTCTCCCTCTCACTCCCTCTTTCTTTATTTCTTTCATTCTCGCCTTTCGGTTTTGAGGTGTTGTTTCTAAATGAACAAGCACCTCTAAAAGTGTTGAGAGTGCCCACACGACGAACAAGAATGACACATCTACACGGAAAACTGACACTTTGAGCCCTGAAGAGGACCTCAACAAAGATAGAAACGTTGTTGTTAATATTTATTGTATAAATTCATTTTTTCCTTATGTCCTAGATGTATTTGTATAATTTAAACAATGCTTATAAACCCCAGGCCCTGAAGATGATCTCAATAAAGATCGAAACGTTGGCACGATACGGGAAATTTTTATCTAAACTTCGTCACATCAGACCGCATCTCACGATCTCCAAATAATCATTAATTAACGGTCACTAAACACCCAATCACGTACATACATAAAATATTAATCTCTGAAAAATTAATCTTTAGGTTTATGTTGCTCTACTAGAGGTGAACTATCAGAAATAATAGGCAAAATTCTTAAACACCCAATTTTCATTTCTATTAACTTGTGCTATTAAGGCGGTAAAATTGAGATGATATTTTCAAAAAGCAAGTTATAAATTGAAAACTTTACTAGTTCCCGTTTTACATATTTTACGTCAAATAGCATTTTCAATCTGACCTGGGAGTTAGAAATAATCTCATAAATTGCTGTTAAGTTTTAGTGTTTATTTTAAAAGGCTTCATTATAAGACGCTTTAGAAGAATAACTGCCTCCTTTAACTGGGGACACACTCCCTCCTTTCTCTGGTGGTGCTGCGTTTGCATAGCTCCTGTAATGTTCAATCGTTTCAGTCAAAATCCTCTCAGAATCATCGAATTCCTGGAGTTCCATCCCTTCGCCGGTGTACCAGTGGACGAAGGCCTTCTTCCTGTACATGGAGATAAAAGATTCCAACACTCTACCCAACATGTCACAGCAAGAGGTCATATTTCCTGTCATCCGTAACAACAAAAGGGTTAGATGGAATTTTGTAATAGTGATAGTTTTTCTTACCTAGGAATGTGCATGACATTTTCAAGCCTCTTGGAGGAATATCGCATATAGCCGTTTTCAAGTTGTTCGGTATCCATTCAGAGAAATATTCGGCGTTTTTCAATTGCACGTTTAACATTTGCTCATCTACCTCTCTTGTCGACATCCTTCCTCTAAAAATTTTCAAAAGGACCGTTTGTCAATAAAAAACAGAGTTATTTAATATAAAAATGTATACCGGAAAATCCCCGCACAAGTAAGGAATTTCCCATTCTTGGGATCGACAGCACACATATAACAATTCGGGTCGAACATCTGCTGTACGAGAGACGGGACGGTCATCTGCCTGTACTGCTGGCTTCCTCTAGCGGTCAACGGTACGTACGCAGGTATGAAGAAGTGAAGACGGGGAAAAGGGACCATGTTGGTCAAAATCTTTCTTAAATCGGAGTTCAGTTGCCCAGGGAATCTGTTTAAAAAAAAAGACATTCTCTACACTACACTATCAATGCATACATTTTTCTCTATTCATCTCCCCTCACACTCTTACTGAGTCTCACTCTGTCACGCTTTCTCTCTTTCCTCTCTCTCTCCCCCTCCCTTTCTCTCACTTTCTCTCTCTCACTCTCTTTCTCCCTCCCTCTCTTTCTCTCGTTGATTCTTCCTCTCTCTGGCGCTCTCTTTCCTTTTTCCCCTCATTTCTCTCTTTACCATTCTCTCCATCTTTGGATAGTACCTACCTATCTATTCATATTTTTATATCTCCCTCTCTCTTACTCTCTCTCTCTCTCTCTCTCTCTCTCTCTCTCTCTCTCTCTCTCTCTCTCTCTCTCTCTCCCACTCATTCTTCCTCTGTCTTCCGTCGTTGTCAATGTCGCTCTATCTCTATCTCACTCTATTTTCTCTTAGTCTCATTTCTTCCTACCCTTACTTTCTTCCTACCTACCCTCTCTATCTAACTAGCTATTTCTCCCCCCCCTCTCTCTCTCTCTCTCTCTCTCTCTCTCTCTCTCTCTCTCTTTCTTTCTTTCTTTTCTACTATTTCTATCTCCCTCTTTTTTCAGTCATTCTCTATACTCCAAAGTAACATAAACCGAAGAAGAAACATATAAAGGAAAATTAAACAGAGATTTTTTGTTAGACTCTGCAGATTGATGAACATGTAGCTTGTACTTGCAGATACTAGAACAAAACTTTCTTAATTAAATTGGTAATGGATAAATGCCGAAACGCGGATGATGAAGACCAGAATGATCGAAAACGACTACATGAAATAAAAAATAAAAAAATTACCTGAAGCAAGTAGTTGTGCCCGACATGGCACAGGATATTAGATGATTCAGATCGCCCAATTGCGGCGCAGATAGCTTGAGAACGTTATTACATATGTGGTACAACGCTTCATTGTCGAGACAGTACACTGCGTCGACTAAATCCGCGAGAGCCTGCATTCCGAGGACGCAGTTATACGGTTCAACCACCGTCTCTGACACCTAAATTTATGTCGAACGTTTTTCATTTATGAGCCAAATTAGAGAGAAATAACTTACTTTCGGCGAGGGCTGCACGCTGTACGTTGCTAAAATCCTATCTGGATATTCTTGCCTCAATGCCTCGATCATCAAATGGCCAAGGCCTGAACCAGTACCACCACCAAGGCCGTGAAGAATTTGTATACCCTGAAGGCAATCGACAGTTGTGTAAAAACAAACTATTACCAACTACAACCTTCTATAGTCACAAGTAAAAATGACACACCTGCAGACAATCGCAGGCTTCGCAGAGTCTTCTCGTGACTTCGAGTGCCTGGTCGCCGACTTCCAAACCCTCCGTGTACCTACCCTTGCCGAAGTTGTTCGACGCTCCGGCTTTCCCGAAAATCATGTTCTCCGGTTTGAATATCCTTCCGTAAGGCGAGTTCGTGATCATTTGTCTAGTTCCTGGATCAAGGTCGACCATGACGTTTCTTGGGACGTACGTACTACGGCCTATTTGAAAAGGATAAGATTTAGAGCACACACGCTCAGAATAAATTCAACAGTCAAATATTCAACCTACTTCCTTCTTCGTAATACACGTTTATTCTTTCGAGCTGTAAATCCGTGTCTCCTTTCCACGTACCGTCAGGTGTGACGCCATGTTCATCAGAAATAACTTCCCAAAACTGTAAATTTTTAAGTTAATCCTATAACTGTTGTTGAATGTACATTGGTGAATGATTAATTCACATGTCTAATGAAGTAATGACCCCTTGGCTGAGTTCAGCCACTATTTGATATGAGCTTTGTATTCCCTTTATTTCCCCCCTTTCTTCTATGTGTGACGTGTGCTTCTTTTAAAAAACTATTTATTTCTTTTGATAACATTAACTTATAAACATTCTCATGATAGAGACAAATATTTTATATCTTAAAATCTATTGTTGGTAAGGATCTGTGTTTCTAAATCACCGCCTTGGTTGATTTCGGCGATCCTTCGCCTGCTGAATCAACAAAACGCCAATTTTACAATTATGTTACCATCATATTATGAATACGGAACAATTTTCTTTCCAAGATAAAAAGGTCAATGTGAATAAAAGAAAACTGACCTTAGTTCCGATTCCATTCCCACAATTCCCGAGCTGTAAAACGACGAGTTCTCTCATTTTGATTTCGGATTTTTTATGTGGGGTTTTTGTGTATTTTGTGTAAAACTGTAAATTTTGAATTTCAAACTTGCTTGCCTGCCATGTTGTGTGTTTGACACACGATAATTTTAATCTTGTCACATGGCTTAACACATTACCACGTTTAACAGGTGAATTTTATTTACAATTTAAAATAAAATGTAGGTTCAGAGAAGAACATTAATAGTTTCAGTTGGCATTTCTCTTTCTCTTTTTTTTCAATTTTTACGCTCTCCCACTCATTCTTCTGTTGTTGTCAATGTCGCTCTATCTCTATCTCACTCTATTTTCTCTTAGTCCCATTTCTTCCTACCCTTACTTCTACCTACCCTCTCTATCTAACTAGCTATTACCCCCTCTCTCTCTCTCTCTCTCTCTCTCTCTCTCTCTCTCTCTCTCTCTCTCTCTCTTTCTCACCCTCTCTTTCCCACCCTCTCTTTCCCACCCTCTCCCTCTTTCTCTCTCTCTCTCTCTCTCTCTCTCTCTCTCTCTCTCTCTCTCTCTCTCTCTCTCTCTCTCTCTCTCTCTCTCTCTCCCTTTCTCTCTAACCACTCACTCCATCTTTGTGGACCTCATTTTCTCTATCTATTCATCTCACTTTCTCCCCTCTCCCTCCCCCTCACTCTCACTCCCTCTCACTCACTCACTCACTCCCTCTCCTCTCTACCATTCCCTTCAGACTGTATCTCTGCGTAATTTCTAATAAAATTAAAACATTGAATATACTAAAAACGTAGAAAATTTCAAATTATAAAATGTTTATTTAACTTCATTTTTATCATAATCGCTGAGAGATTCAGTACGATATTACATAAAATAAATATATAATGCATGCTCTACTTGTACTGAATTACATTAATTTAGTTGTGTTATAAAATAATAATAATCTGTAATATTTTCTAGGATCAGAACGCGGATAAAAATTGATCCCATGGAATTGTACCTCTGCACCTCGTCCTCCGTCTCAAGTCTAATGGTCTTTTTGTCGAAAGAAGCGGTTTGTCGCCTAAGCTATGGTCTTCTATGGAACGCAGGGATGCAAGTAGGGCCAGCCTGTTGGGGATCCCGGGCATCCCGATTCCATGGTTCATGTCCTCAAAAAGTCCTCTGAGGTCCCTTTCCAGGGATCCGGTTATTCGTTCTGTTTTCGTCTTTTTCTTCTTGTGGGTGGACGAGTCGGTCGAAGAGCATTCCTCGGTCGAGAAAACGTTCGGGGCGTTTGTTTCTTCTGCCCTTCTTTGCGCTGATGTCTGGCCAGCGTTCTGCTTAGCAAGCTGTTCAAACACAAACTTCATATTCGCTACTTCTCCGGTTTTTTCAATCTCTGTAGGTTTTTTAGGTATGTTTTCCTTCTTTACTGTCAAATTGTCCCAATAGTTTTTCAATGTTTTCACGGTATTGTTTGATTTAACTTGTTCCTTGTTCGCGCAGTACTCTCCTATCTTCACCAAGACCTTTCTCGTAGTTTTTTGAAAGCCTGGCGTTGTTTTGTACACGCCGGTGATGTGGTAAAAGGCAGATTGTGTCCGCCTTAACTCGCCCTTTTTGGTGTCCTTCAGTTCAAATAATGACATGATGCTTTTACATCTTCTTTTTGCTAATAATATCCTATTGTCTTTCTTCATCGTGCATTCAAAATTTTCAGTGATCGCCACTTCTATTATTTTTTCACTCACTGACGTCTCACTGGCTGATTCTTGCCTGTCTATTGATGGAAGTGTGTTAAGTTTAAAATCGTCTGTATACGAATCATTGCAGATTGTTTCTTGTTTGATTTTCTTTAAATCGTCCTCTTTTAATGTTTTTATTAGGTTCTCTTTTTCATTATTAGGTATACTTTTTTCTTCACTTTGCTTTGAACAAAAATCTCCTCGGATTGTTTCAATGTTGTCACTTTTACTCTCAATTGAATAGCAAGAGTAATTTAAAATATCTTCAGAATTCTCCCTCAATTTGACCAAGTATTCGCTACCAGTAATCATGGAATCGTCTTCATCCGCTTGGACGGCCCAAATGTCGGAATGGTCGTTCTTGAAAATGTCCAGATTGTCGAATGTGTCGAAAAATTTGGAATCCTCTCCTGATGACAGATCGAGGGGGAATGTCGCACCTTCCGAGGAGATGAATGTGAACGACCTACGTCTGCATCGAGACTGGCGGAATTCACCCGATGACGACCAGGCCGAAACGGCCGCTCCCTCCGACTCTGCAATTTTTATCTTCGGTACCTCCGACTTTTTCAAAGAGAATATCCTCTTCCCGTTCAATATCATTTGAACTATTTTCGAAAACGACCGTTTTCGCTCTTGTTTTATTTTGATCTCGTCTGGGGAGTTTGCTGTTTCCATATCACCTGGGCACGTGTCCTCGTCGGAATCGCACCATTCCGAAGCACCGAATCTCCCCCGATACCCGGGAGGAGGATCGTCCACAAATACCTCGAAGGGGCATCCCGGGGCTACCCATCCGTTTTTCGAAACAAATATGAAATAAGTTCCTTTCGCAGAAGCGATATAACCGACCATTAAACGTCCCAATCTCTCCTTAGTCTCGATTCTCAACGCCGATTGTCCTTTCATGCTCACCTGTAACATTTAAAAAGTTACAACCTCCTGAATTAAAAAACTATTTACTTTCATTTAAAATTACAATTATATCGTCCAATTTTCCGGAGACGGAGTAGACGTAAAAGACAGCTCTTCGTTGCGTGTATGCCGCGTAGAGTCCGACGCCTCGCGCCACAATATCTTCCGATACCCTCATTGCGACATCCTCCAGAGCCTCCTGCTCGCTGAATTTCATTATCTTCTTCATGAAGAATACGAAATTTTGGCGAGCCCTTCTTTCCAAACAAGGGCTGCTCAGTTGTGACTTATCCAGTGTCTAAACGTGAAACATTCGATAAAGCATCGGCCTCTTAGTAAAAAATATATTTAAAAAACACGGACTGGCACGATGTTGATCTTCCGTACTGCAGTGGCTTGGAGTTCCATCCAGGTTTCCGACTCGTCTTCCAGGAGGTTGGACACCTTGCGGGCCCCTTTTTCCCATAGCTCTTCTAATCCGTTGAAACCAAGGCGTTCCTTGCACCATTCGATTATCTCGAGCTCTCCTTCCACCAAATTTGCCCGAGCTGCTAACACGAAACATAATCAATATAATTTAATTTTCTTTTTTGTAATAGAGCTTACGCTTTATGATGAATTGGCAAAACCTTGAGAGAAAATATATAAAAAGAGCGATCAATGTGGAGCAGGTTTTCACAAATGTAGCCAACATAGTGCATTATTGTTTCGAGTCTTCATTAAAATAAATAAATATCTGGAAATGATGTTTAAATTTTGAACATTGCTTTGTTTCTTCTTGTCTGAAACATTTAAACCATTCTAGCATGTTCAATCCTGCTTTCACTGGTTCGATTCATGTTGATAAAATGGTTTAAAAAAGCAAGTAATGCCATCAAGTCGAGTTCTAAAAGGTTATATTTATATAATTATATTAAACCAATTATTTATTCTGTTTATCTAAGGTTGAGATGAAAAATTAGTGTCACTAGCGGGATTCGAACCGACGACTTTCGTCTTAAGATGTTTCATCTCTTACTCTTTCTCACTCAGGACTAATTTTGTCTTCCGCATTCTTCACGATTTACCACGGAAAATTATTTAAAAAACTGCAGTTCTTATTTCTTCCTAAGGTCGTGGGTTCGAATTTATTTATTCTGTTTATCTAAGGTTTTTGGTTGAGATGAAAAATTAGTGTCACGAGCGGGATTCGAATCCACGACCTTAGGAAGAAATAAGAACTGCAGTTTTTTAAATAATTTTCCGTGGTAAATCGTGAAGAATGCGGAAGACAAAATTAGTTCTGAGCGAGAAAGAGTAAGAGATGAAACATCTTAAGACGAAAGTCGTCGGTTCGAATCCCGCCCGTGACACTAATTTTCATTTCAACCAAAAACTTTAGTTAAAAAGAATAATTAATTGGGAAATTAATATGGTCAATTATGACCACAAAACAAATATGGATTATATTATACCCTTGTATCCAGACTTCTGACTGCCCTGACCGTTCGCAAGACCATGAAATCCAGAAACACCAGACTAATATCAAATTAATTCAACATCGTTTTCCAATCTCTGAGGATCTCACGATCTCACAGAACTTTCTCGCGGTACGGTAAGCCCGGCTTACAGACGATAATTTTCCCCAGTCGACAGTCTGAACACGGGGCCGGGACACAGACACGATTTTACGTTACAACATAACACAAACTAAGAAACAAACTTATACAGTTACATTGCCTAGAATCCTATTACCCCGTCCAACGGAGGTCGTGAAAATGGGAGGGGGTTTAAAATCAATTATATTTTATTATGTAATCAAAGCTAGTTGATTTTTTAACCCTGTTGTACATTCCCATTCTTATCACTCAAACGTTAATATTTCAACATATTATAGAAATTAATTTTTTAATTTTTCCTGTATGTTATTAAATTGTACAATAAATACACTGACAGGCAAAAAATTGCGCCAGATTAATTTTTTTCATTTTCTCGATAAAAGAAAATTTTGCCCTTAATTTGTCTTATTGTTTTTCCAATTAATATTTGGTTATGTTATGTTATAAATTAAGAATATCAATTGGATTATTTGGAGATCGTGAGATGCGGTCTTGTAAAGATAAAGATTTTCTTTATCGTGCCAACGTTTCGATCTTTATTGAGATCATCTTCAGGGTTCAAAGTGTTTGTTTTCCGCTGGCACTCTCAACACGGCACACAAAAATGACACATCTACACGGAAAACAAACACTTTGAGCCCTGAAGATGATCTCAATAAAGATCGAAACGTTGGCACGATAAAGAAAATCTTTTTCTAAAACCTACATCTCACCAGACCGCATCTCACGATCTCAAATAATCATTAACTAATCACTACACATATCAATTAGAGGTGAATCCTTAATCCAAAACGAGGATATAGGATTTTCATATGTTTACTTTTTACGGAATTTAAAATGTTTGTTCGGTCCCATTTGAATCCGGAAGCAATAAATTGTTTAGTTTTCATCTTTGTTTTCTCGATTTCAATTTTTAAACTTAAAAATGCCATTTAGAGCTGAGGATGTTGGGCGTGGTGTGGCACTTATTGATGAGGGAGGTTCCATCAGGTGTGCTATTGCCATCGGAGTTCCCTATGAAACTGGGAGATGCCGTTAGACGTTTACCAGTTACTGGGTCCTACCATAGAAGGCCCGGTTCTGGACGCCCTAAGATAACTGAACAACAGAATGTCCTTTTTTTTTACTTTGAAAATTTTGCGAAATCGGCACCTTACTGTTGTTGAAGCGCTTCATCAGCTCTAGGAAGTTCGAGGTGTCTAAATTTCTGAACGCACTGCTCGAAGAAGATTAAACCAGGAGGACCCGAATCATGACCCCTGAAGATGATCTCAATAAAGATCGAAACATTGGCACAATAAAGAAAATGTTTTCTAAAACCTACGTCACACCAGACCGCATCTCACGATCAAAATAATCATTAATTAACGGTCACTAAACACCACACATATCAATCAACACACTTAATCCTTAATCCAAAACAAGGATAAAGGATTTTCAAATGTTTACTTTTTACGGAATTTGAAATGTTTATTCAGTCTCAATTGAATCCGGAAGCAATAAATTGTTTAGTTTTCATCTTTGTTTTCTTAATTTCAATTTTTAAACTTAAAAATTCCATTTAGAGTTGAGGATGTTGCGCGTGGTCTGGCACTTATTGATGAGGGACGTTCCATCAGGCATGCGGTTATTGCCATCGGAGGTCCCTACGAAACTCTGCCAGATGCCGTTAGACGTTTTACGAGATACTGGGTCCTACCATAGAAGACGTTGTGGACGCCCTAGGGTTACAGAACCGCAGGATGGACGTTTTTTGACTTTGAGAATTTTGCGAAACCGGCACCTTACTGTTGTTGAAGCGATTCATCAGCTCCAGGAAGTTCGAGGTGTCTAAATTTCTGAACGCAGTGCTCGAAGAAGATTAAATCAGTATGGACTGATGTCTTTTCACCCCGTAAGAGGACCAGAATTGACCAGAACACACGGAGTTGCACGGCCCCCATTTGCTCGAGAACACACCCATTGGTCTTTGGACGATTGGTCTCCTGTACTTTTTACGGATGAGTGTAGATTTGCCCTACGATCTCCACGAACGGCGTGAAATAGTTTGCAGAACGGGAAATGAAAGGTAACTGGCACTGATACACTGCTATTTCAACCTTAGAAGAACTGCCTTCCAAGTTTCTACTTAAAACGAACGACACTCTCTTCCGTTCTGTAATTAATGCTGTGTTTATTGGTCTCTGTTGATGTAAAAGTTACGTAAATAAGTCTTTTCAGAGGATCGTCGGAAGAGGTCAAAACAGAGAAAACTTCCTTACGGTTTTCGCCGAGCTTTCGACAGTTTTATACTGTCATCTTCAGGGCCTGTTTTATTATCATATAAACAAACAATTAAAACATGAAAAAACAATAATTACAACAATAATTGGATAACTTACTTTAAAAAATTAATAGGAAATTAAACAACATGATGTTTAATTTCCTATTAAGGTTTTAAAGTAAGATATCCAATTATTGTTGTAATTATTGTTTTTTCATGTTTTAATTGTTTGTTTATATGATAATAAAACAGGCCCTGAAGATGACAGTATAAAACTGTCGAAAGCTCGGCGAAAACCGTAAGGAAGTTTTCTCTGTTTTGACCTCTTCCGATGATCCTCTGAAAAGACTTCTTGTATCCAGCAGGTCGATAATCTAGTTCATCGTTACAGTTATGTAAATGTTCTAAAAAGTTACGTTTCCATAAATTCCATACAGGGGCACTACTAATACATGGATAGATTCCATCTGTATAACTGCTGTCGATATATCATCTACATACTTAGGAAGAAAAGGTAATGTGAAAGTGTATTTTGCAAGTATAGGAACTAGCCGTATCTAGCCGAAAATCGTGGGTTCGAATCTCGCTCGTGCCATTGACTTTTTTATCTCAACTAAAAACCTTAATTAATTGTAATATAGGAACTAGGTTGCTACCCATGGCTTTGCCAAATAGTTGTTTGTAAAAATGAATGTAGTATGTAAAGTATCCGTTAATTCAGCAGTGTCGAACCATTGTTATAAACGTGTTATTTGTTAATGTTTAGAAAGAAAAATGAACAAAAATGCATGCAACTGTCTGGATTCCATATCATAGCCATTCTTAGATCATATAACAATAAAATATTTCTTGTTGTCTTATTCTTTTTCATATTTCTTAGTGTAATAAGATTTTTATGCTTTTTTTAAAATGAAATCACTTCTTTTGCAGCCTACTTTTCTTCATTTTTGCCATAATCATTTTATTAAAATTAATGTAACTTTTATGTTAAATGCGTGTGAAACCACCTTACAAAATCGCTAGAATGTTATTTCGCAAAATTAGACAAGACAAAAGTCCGATACGAAAGTTGTAACGTTAAACTCAAAATATTGCGAGATCCAAAAAGTGTAATTTATTTATTTGAATTTTTTAAACAAAAACTATTTTCTTCTATTGCTTAAAGGTTAACTGTTGAAATAAACATAAAGTTCATCCCGGTCAGAGATTTAAAAATGAGTCACGTGATTTGTAACACAATCGCAAACAAAATAAATTCCAAGCTGAAACCATAGCAACAGTTTACAAAATTATAAGTTTCCCAAACACAATTCACATACCCATAAATTTTTCCACGTACATAGTCACATAAATTACTAAGATTCACAATGAACACTGTACAGTTTGCGTCGAAATTTCTGGAGAATGCTGATTCCAAGGCGAAAGGAAAAGCTTACACCCTGGCCGATTCGGTGAAGGCGGAAAAAATCGAACCCCCTGTGACTGTCATGCCTTGGGTATGTTTATGGTTTAATTTCAACTCTAGGTTACTAGTGGACAATGGGAGTGCTACAAAACAGATTTTGTAAAAGATTCTGCAAAAAAATTTCACACTATTATGTTATTTTTGTTACAGTTCAATTTCATAAAATGCATTTATTTAATTCAAATTTTCCAATATTCTTTCTTACCTTTCATCCTTGAATCAGAATTTCATCCTTTTCTATAAAAGCACATTCGAACCCAATAAAATATACCTTGTGGCCCAAAGATTCACCCGATAATTCCTTCTTTTGTCATTTTGCTTGTTTTTTGCAAAACAAAAGTTAAGCATTATTCAGAACAAAATTTTGATTGGATATTTCGGTTGTATTGCTATGAAATAAAATAATTTTTAAATAATTCTGTATGTACAAAGGTATTTATTTTTAATAAGAAAACCCATTATTTTGAAACCTTCGTCATTCTTTTGATAAAAAGAGCAGCTCATTTGTTTTCCCAATATTTGCCAATTGTCAACATTTATATTACTTAAATGTTAATATTAGAAAGGATACTCGATATCACAAAATATACACAATTTTTTAACTAAAAATTCGTTATTGTTGGTTTTTAAGTCACTATATCCATAGTGTTGTTGAGATATTTTTAATTTTTAGCATATATCTAAGAAACTTTAGGTATTTTCATAGTAAGTGTAATAGACATTTTAATAAATACCCATATCTACCTAAACAATGAGGCAAATATCGATACTTTATAGAGTTTTTTGAAATATTTAATATATAATTAGCAAATTAAATATATAAATAAGAGGTACTATAGAGGCAAAAACGACCTCGATTTAATGAATGGACACTCTTAGAAAAAAGAACCAGCATTAAAGACCTAGGCGTTATCTTTAAGTACAATGGCTTACCAATTACTTAGAATCACAACAATGTATTTAAAAAAAGAAGTAGAAGGAAGACCAATGTCGACTGTGCAAGAGATACAGAGACAGCAGAACAGCAAATACCCGACAATAGCAAGGAAAAGTTTATGGTATTTGTTAAATCTATTCCCGGACATTAGACCTCGACATACCGTATCCCAGGAAAGGATTCTGTACTTGACAGAAACAGCAATCTTGATAAATGTAGCTTCCAGGAAAATCAGTAGAATTCAGACACAATAGAAGAAAGTTTAAGCGCTTAAGGGTGAAACCCCTTATACGCAAAAAGCCAAAAACTTATGGATTGATGGGCATGGATACTTGATATATATATATTTAATCCGGTGGTTTTTTTTGGGGGGAGGAGGTGTAGAGGCCAGGGGTGTTTACTAAAAATTCAGGTCTGAGGAAGGTACTAAAATATTAACGAAACGTCACCAAAGTTTTCTGCTCTTCACTTAACACCTCTGGCCTCTACACCCAAAAAATAACACAACTAAGACTGAAAAAAACAACGTATATTTAAAAAACCGGATATTTTCTATCGATTTTTTTCTATAAAAGGTAATATTTAGAGAAGAAAAGAGAATTAGAGAGGAATTCTAGAAAATATAGTCATTTTCCATGGCTGGAGGCTCTTGAGGCCTTGTCCTCGAGCGAGATAAAGGCAAAACGCGTATGCAATAGCATAGAATCCCTGGCAGAAGTCAGTGACAATAATGACCTATATCTGGCCTGGATGCCTGGATATTCGGGACATAGGCAATGAGAAAGTGGACATGTTGGCCAAAAAAGGAGCCGCTCTAGGCTTTAGGCCCTTAACCCTTCTTTAGCAAAAAAAAGGATACACCCAAAGGTAAATCCTTAGTGAGTCCAAAACCAGATGAAACGACACCCTTGGAATTAGGCACTCAAAGAGATTCGTAGAAAGGCCATCCGCAATACTTGCAAAGGAATTACTGGAAGGTAAGAGGTCTAAGAAGGTCTAAGAAGTCACATGTACCGGATAGCAGTACAGACAAAATAAACACTGGGCAGAAACTGCCAGGAACAAGAGAAGACCGCAGAACACATTCTGTGTTTATGTGAGGTTCTATGTAGGTGGATATATTTACAACTAGGAGAGGAAAAGCCGCTTGGAAGATCTTACACTAAGTAGTCGCTGCCCAGGCTATGGAAGTTGACTAACAACCTAAACCTGACCAGTAAGTCATAAAAAAAGAGCAGCAAAATAGATTTACTCAGGTCTCGAGGTTAGGTCTTATGGCTACCTAATTTATCTCTGTACATATCCCTAATATTTAGAATATTTAAAATTTAAAATAATCCATATATGCTTAGTGGTCATAATTGACCATTATAATTTTTTCAAATAATTATTATTTGTATCTAATATCTTGGTTGAGAAGAAAAAGTTAGTGTCACGAGCGGTATTCGAACTCACGACCTCAATACGCCGCTGTTCTAACCACCTGAGCTAGTGAGCCGAAGGTCGTGGGTTCGAATCCCGCTCGTGACACTAACTTTTTCACTTCCACCAAGGCCTTAGATAAAAAGTAATAATTAATTGAAATATTTCAAATAATATTTAAATTTTTTGTTCGTTCAGGAATACCTCAGTGTAATAATTGTAAAACTTCAATTAGTCGAGACCCTATAATCGGCAAATAAGTCAATAATAAGTAGTAAGTAGTAATAAATATATAGTTTGTTAGTTTTCAACTATTTATGTTTTCATATACTCAATTAATTATACAAAAAATTTTTCGTAATGGAAGCCGAAGGTGGTGGGTTCGAATCCCGACTGACACAAATTTTTCATTTAAAAAAAACAAATGTGTATAATTAATTGAGTATATGTATAATTAAGAATAATTTGATAAAAATAATAAAAGTTGGTATTTATGTTTTATTTATTCATAATTGTACACTCAATATTGGTGTTTTGTCATGTCATTTTTATCATTTTAATGTGGTTATTCTTGTTCTTTCAGCATCACCCCAATCCATTTGTTTCGTTAAAAATGCAGGATAAAGCAGCTTACAAGGAACATTTGCTCGACCACTTAGCTGCTCTAGATATAGAGTCACCCACATCTCCTGTGTTGCTGTCCAAAATAATTTGCACGATAGGTACACATGTATAAATGAATTTTTAGAGAAATATAGAAAACAGAATATTATTGTTTGTGAAAAAATAAAATTTATTAGATATGAATAAACAATTTTCTTGTAGGAAAGTCAACTTGCAATTCTCCGACAATAGAAAAAATGATCAAGAACGGTATGTCAGTCGCTCGCATTGACATGTCGCATGGGAGCCTGTTGGACAATATTGACCTTCTGAGGGAAACGAGAACTTTTATAATTGAATATTGTTCCAAAAACAAAATAGTCTATCCAATCGCGATTGCCGTCGATATCAAAGGTCCTGAGATTCTCACTGGAGTTTTATACAAGGTAGAACTTTTATAAATCAACCAAATAAAATTCCGAGTCAAAAACCAATCTGATTCCCGTGTAGGCTGAGAAAGTAACGTTAGTCGAAGGGGATACGATTACTCTCACCACCCATCCGTCTTGGGAGGAAAGAGGCAGCCAAGCGAAAATCTTCGTCGATTATAAAGATCTAGCCCAAATAGTACAGCCGTTGGATGTAATCCTTCTGGATTACGGGAGAGTTAAGCTCAGCGTCCGTGGCACAGGTAACAAAAAACCAGTTTAAACGTTAGCCTTAACTAGAAATAAAATCAAGCCGCAAAAATACCACGATAGAAAAAAAATTAATACAAGAAGTTTTAATTTACTACATGTATACAATTCGTTGAATTTTTCAGTGGACAGCGATATAGTATGCGATATTGTTGCTGGTGGTGAAATCCATTCGTACTCTGACGTTATGGTGTTGGACGTTCCTTTAAGCATGCCTTTCCTAACACAAAAAGACAAAAAAGACCTGGAAGCTTTGGTAGGTGAAAGTGTAGACGTTGTATTTATATCAGGTGCAATCGGAAAAAATTCAGTCGAACTTGTAAGAGAATTCTTGCGTAAGTTTAAATCACTTGTAATCAGTATCGTAATTCGACAGAGGTTTTACCTGCTACCTCGATTTTAGGTCAAGATAACATGAAAGGCGAGTGCATAATGATTGTATCGAAAATCGAAAGCAAATTGGCTTTATCCAGGTACGACGAAATCTTAGCGGCGTCAGATGGAATTATAATAAACAGAGGTAAACTGGGAATCGAACTTTCTACAGAAAAGGTCATGCAGGCGCAGAAGGCCATGATTGCGAAGGCGACAAAAGTATGAAATCCATTGTTATAAAAATGTGATATAACATTTGCAAAATATTTTAGGCTGGAAAACCAATTTTCTCAGTGTGCGAGTATCTAAACTCGATGATACACAAAAATTGTCCGACGTTTGCCGAAGCGGCGGACGTTGTCGCGACGATCCATGATGGGGTGGATGGTATCATTTTAAAAGACGAAACGGCCATCGGCGAATACCCAGATGTGGTCGTCCGTACGCTCAACACGCTTTGCAAGGAAGCCGAATCTCTTATTTGGCAGCAGGAAGTCTGGTCATCCTTAAACATGGCAGTAAGTAACACTCTTGCTTAATTGTAAGTACAGGCTTACTAACTTTGGATTTCCAATCGTAGGCGACACCACCTGTAGACCCTTCTCACGCGATCGCCATCGCAGCGGTCGAAGCGTCAATGAAATCCCATGCAGCAGCTATAGTCGTCGTGACGACATCTGGTACATCGGCAAAGTTAATTGCTAGGTACAGGCCGCGATGCCCTGTTCTCGCTGTCTCCAGATACGGCGCAGTCGTCAGGCAGATGAATCTGTACAAATGCATCGTTCCAGTCCATTATGTCGGTAAGATCAACTTAAGTTTTAAACTGCCAAAATTTTGCAAGCTCAACACTGGGCAAACCAAAGGTTCATGTTTTGTAAAATAATCCATATTCTGATCCGCTGCTTAGATAGAGCATAAAAAAATTATTAAAAAGAATCGTATTGTTGAAAGATACTGAACTTTTTGTTAATCTGTTCAAGGAAAAACTAATATACAATAATCTAACTAATATAACAATACATCCTTCATCTCACATTCAACTAATCTAACCATGCTATCTAATCTTGCTGAAGATGCACAAAGTTTTGAATTAATAAGCCTATTTAGATTCATTTCACATCCTCTCTAAAGTTTAATTACAAGACATGCGCAATTGGTTTAAAACGACAAAAGTCAGAGGAATGACAACAGTGCTATGGTATGGTATGGTATGGTAGAAAAGGATACTAGGAAGCGGGGTTTGTACTCCCCAAGCACTGCAGCCTTCTGGCTTATTGTACCTTCCTAGTTCCTTAGTTCAGTCAATAGACTCAATCCTTCTTCTTAGAAGTATCAGGTCATTGACTGTTGCTGCAGCAATTTGATTTCCTAAGTTTTTTCCGTACGTTAGGATAAATCTCCATTGAGCTGTTGCTTCGCATTCGAAGATGATATGAGTGGCTGTTTCCTCCTCTTCATTACATAATCTACAAATGGGATCATCGCTGTATATACCCATGTTGTGTAGATGTTTTCTCAGATGCCAGTGACCGGTTAGTAGTCCTACCACTCCTCTGCGTTTGGCCCTCTCCAATTGTAGCAGTGTTTTTGCCAGTCTCGGTGAGGGTTGCTTCATCATAAGTTTACTATGTCTAGCACCGCTAGAGTTTATCCACTTCTCCTTTTGTTTTGTTTGGATCCATTCTGCGATGGAGGGTTCTATATTTGTTCTTGTTATCCCAAGAATAGGTTCGGGGCCTATGTATGGTCTTGCAGTTCCTCCTCTGGCCAGTCTGTCTGCTTTCTCGTTACCCAAAATTCCCCTGTGCCCTGGCACCCAAGATATCATCAGGTTGTTGTGTTTCCTCAGGTTTTGGAGATTTTGGATGCATTCACTGACTAATTTTGATGTGATTCTTTCACATACTAATGCTTTAATGGCTTCTTGGCTATCCGATCTTATGAGGATTTTTTTGCCAGTGTAACCTCTTTTAAGATTTTCCAGAGCACAAGCATTGATGGCATGTATTTCTGCTTGAAAGACCGAAGTGTACTTCCCTAATGAGTTTGATTACTCATGTTTTGGGCTTGTACAGAAAACGCCTGATCCTGTTCCTTCGTTTGTTTTGGAGCCATCCGTAGCCACATGAGTGCTATAAGCATGGAGAGGTAATTTCAAACTCCTTTCATTTCTATGAATGTCGTGTACTACAGAAGCGAACTATTTTTGAGCCATTGCTTTATTGAAATATTTACTTTATTTCTAAGGTCGAAGAATTGGTCTGGGTGATATTTGACTTATAATCCCATCCAACGGTTTGGTGTACTCAGAGTTAATCCATTTTCATTTGAAACAAACACTCATGCAAAACAATCTTTCAGTTCCACCGACTGCAAAGCAGCTTATTTCTGATAGTATAGAAATAAATTTAGTTGGGCCTATCAGTAAAATATGTATATATGACGGGTACGGCAAAAGACGTCAGGGTATAAGCTGGGAGAGACAAAACTCGAACCTTTTTCCATTTCTATCAATATCGTTTCTTCAATGTCAATTTCTAAGTTCGTTCCAAATGGAATGCATAAGCTTATTTCTTGTAGTATAACGATAAACCTTTAGTCGAGTTATCTTTAGAACAACTACGACGGATATGGCGTCTTCAGGTTAATAAGCAGGGGGAGGTAAGGTACGAACACCTTCCATTTCTACGAATGTCTGTAATGTGTGGTGATTAGTGACCGTTAATCGATATTTATTTAGAAATCGTGAGATGCGGTCTGGTGTGATGTAGGTTTCAGAAAAACATTTTCTTTATCTTGCCAACGTTTCGATCTTTATTGAGATCTTCTTCAGGGTCTGGGATATACAAACATTGTTTACATATTACAATTACATTTTGGATGTGTAAAAGTGAATTTATACAATGCAAGATATATTATATATATTCAATCAAAGTATTTCTACTCACTCAAAGTGTTTGTTATACAACAATTACACAGAAGACAAACACTTTGAGTGAGTAGAAATACTTTGATTGAATATATAAAATATATTTTGCATTGTATAAATTCACTTTTACACATCCAAAATGTAATTGTAATATGTAAACAATGTTTGTAAATCCCAGGCTCTGAAGAAGATCTCAATAAAGATCGAAACGTTGGCACGATAAAGAAAATGTTTTTCTGAAACCTACATCACACCAGACCGCATCTCACGATTTCTAAATAAATGTCTGTAATGTCGAAGCAAACTATGGGGAAGCATTGTTTTATTTGTTTATTTGCTGTACTCCGATTGTTCAAAGAGAGGGGTATTTGACTTATACCCATACAAAGGTTGGGTGAAACTCAGAATTAATACGATTTACATTTTAAACAAACATTTTTTAACACATAGAAAACAATTTTTCAGTTCCACCGGCGGCAAAGCAGCTTGTTTCTGGTAGTATAGAAATTTACCTTTAGTTGGAGTTTTCTTTAAACAAAAAATACTAGACAGAAACGGCTAAAGACGTCAGGGTATAAAAGCTGGGAAAGAAAAGACTGGAACCTTTTTCCATTTCTACCAATATCGTTTCTTCAATGTCAATTTCTAAGTTCCTCCAAACCGAATGCATAAGCTTATTTCTGGTAGTATATCGATAAACCTTTAATTGAAGCTTTCTTTATAAAAAATATGACGGAAACGGCACTAGTCTTCAGGGTTATAAGCAGGGGTAGGTAAGGTACGAACACCTTCCATTTATAAGAATTTCTATAATGTCGAAGAAATCTATGATATGGAAGCATTGTTTTATTTGATTATTTGTTTTATTCGTATTGATCAATGTTTTTAAATTAAACCCTATCTAATGGTGAGTGCAAAAACGCAGAGTCAATAGATTTGACTATACTTTTGATACAAGCAAAACAAATTCTATTTCCATTACACGACTTATTTCTGATACAATAGAGAAAAGATTTGACGGAAAATGCAATAGTTCTTAAGGTTATAATTGGGTTGAGTCAAAACGGTCAACTTCTAGTCTAGCTTAACAAACTTTTCAATTCTTTATTAAGACTAAACGTACGTCGTAAGAGGTTCTTGCCGATTATAAATTCACACACACAACACTTCTTAAAATATATGCTTGTAGTAGAACATCATGTAATTTTATTGATCAATAATTCGCATTCCAATTATATATCCCAGTAGTGCTGATGGGCTTTCGTTTTTAAAAATGTGAATATGGTCGGACACCGCGCCAGGGTCATAAACAGGGAGAGGCGAGACGCGGAGTACTTCTATTGAGGAATGACGATTTAACTTTTAAAACTTTATATGCTGTTGAGTTTAGCTCTTACATTAGCCTGGCCATTTGGAACAAAAACGAAGTCTAGAACAACAGTTTTGGCCTTTGCTTTTTCATTGCTTAAACTATCTAATGAATGTTATTTAAATAAACTATCTTTATTTATCACCTGCGATCCCCTAAAATATTTACCAATTTATAAAGATTCTAGGTAGTCTAGGGTACTGAATTTTAGTTAAGAATCTGACAAATTTGCTGTTTGTTTAGAAGACCAATTTTTGTGGGTTTTTTTCGGCTTTTCTATTGTTCAGTTTTTCGTGGATGATGATGATAGTAACTGACACCTTACGAATCATAGCTATTACCGGCAGAATTGAGATTATCAACCACTGAAGGTTATACAGGTCACCATCTTGTCTTCAGGCACCTTCACTCTTTATTTCCATTTGTGCCTCGGACGAATCTTTATTTTTTCATCGGGCACTTTTGTTATCATTTATGTTAACATGATTTTTGTTTTTTATTCAGCCGGGCCGCACAAAAACTGGCACGTGGACGTCGACCTTAGGCTCCAGTACGCTATAAACCTCGGCAAAATCGAGAAGTACATCAAACCTGGAGACCCCCTGATTTTGGTCAGCGGATGGAGACAAGGTGCAGGCTTTACGAACAACATACGCGTCGTGTACGCATCAGCCGACGAGCCGTGGGTTCTGCCGTTTTCACCCGTAGTAATCGCCTGAAGTGAAATCCTGAATTGAAAATTATAAGAGGCATAGATAACATTTATCTTGTTAGTAATATATATTTCACAAAACATAATCTTTTATTGTTCCTTAAATTGGTGGTTATTCTTAAAATTAAAAATTAAATGGAAAAAATAAAACAAACAAGGGGAAATGACAATCGATCTCTGTGGACACTGAGGAAATTGACATCGTAGGTAATGATTTTCTCTATATTCTATAACATTTTTTATCAGCCAAAACAAATACTAATCTACCGTCCAGGATAGAAAAAAACTGATATTGATGCTCCTTTTCCTTTCTTTTGACCCCACGCAATTCGCTTTATTCTCTCTCGTCTTAGAAATCCGTTGGGCGCAAGGTATTTAAAATAATGAAAATGAAGTTGATATTTTTATATGCATGGGTTTATTATTTTATTCATAAACTTTCAGTAGACAATTCTAAATAAAATTTGACAAAGCCAATTCGACATCCGAATTTGACAAATTCAACTGGTTATCCAACCAAGTCAAATGAATCAGGTATAAATACACCATCTAGTTGACGACCCCACATCCCTTTTTAATCTCTTATACATAGACGTGCAAATTTTATTCTCATGTTTACAGGTCAACCACAGTCGCACATTTGTTCAAAATTAATTACTCATACATATTTATACGCGAGCGGTGGTTGTTGCATATTAACTTCATGACCGTAATTGCAAAAGGTGTTCCCGTCTCAAAAGGATGGTGGAAAACTTAATTATTCTAAGTATTTTACGTGTTTGATGGTGTTTGGTTGTGATTTTTACTGATGTACCAAGAATATTTTCAAGTCAACATAAACTTATGTTAATAAACGTAATTATTTTAATTGATTTATTTTTTTTGATGATTAGTTGGTAATGGACAGATGTAACAATAGCTCAAATTCATTTATGTTTAGAGTCTAATTGATCGTATTAATTATTTAAATTTTTTTTATGTAAGGTCTTGGTTGAAATGAAAAAGTGAGTGTCACAAGTGGGATTCGAACCCACGACCTTCGGCTCAATACGCCGCTGTTCTAACCACTTTTGTCATTAAAGCTGACGTATTGAGCCGAAGATCGTGAGTTCGAATCCCGCTCGTGACACTCACTTTTTAATCTCAACCAAGACCTTACATAAAAAGAATAATTAATAGCGCAAATGTAGAAGCATCGGGATACTGATCCCGATATCGTTGGTTCGAGTACCGTTCACTAATTTTTCAGCTCAACCATTCTTTACATAAAAAATAACAAATCAATTAAAATAGAGTTAAATCTATTACATAAAAGGTCCAAAACAGATTGAATAAAACCTTCAATGGAGGCTAAAAAAATTAATTTATTTTTGAACAATCTGTAGACATTGCTAATTGCTAAGACAAGTAGATAATCGAAGGGTTAACCTCGCCATTAAGTCTTTATGGTGGGTCATCAATCACAACGTTATTCAAACAACCATGTGTGGCCCATCTAAAAATGATTAATTATTGAGAATCCAAATAGTGTCCTATTGTCAAATACAGAAAAATTCCAGTCTCAATTATTTGTCTGACGAGCTGACGATAGGGAGACAGAACATTGTATTATGCAAATTTGTACTTGTAGCTATATAAAATAAAGGATCCAATATTTATAGCTTAAACTGGTATTTATGTAAATAAAATACTACTATTTTGTTTTATTGGGTTGTTCGACGTATATTTTATTGAGGATTGTTTTCAACGTTTTGCAATTTGATTCAGTAGGCAGCAAATAAACGAGACAACTGATCAAAGAGTCAAATTATAAATTGAAGATTTAGCAAAAAGGACCTTATTCAGGTTGACATCTGATGCTAAATTGTCAGGATTTCTGTTGAAATAGGATAGGTTTTCAAGGCATCTTTAAAAGTGTTAAACCTTTTCAATAATTTACCGTATTTCTAGACTAAAAAATTAGTCATGCAAATTGAAAGCCATTCATTCTCTGACGGAATAATTAGACCCGAGGTGATTTTCTTTGCGTTTTCAAAATTCCAAATTAATCAGCACCGGCCGGCCGAGCTTCTTAGCCCGGCGATGTTTTTTGTCATTTTTTACTCCTTAAAGATTCTTGGCGCAAAATTAAAAACGAAATTTCCAAAGGGCTTTTATTAATAAACGAGGGGGCCAGGAGTTGTTTGTGTTGAATGTTTTAAATCGATGGCTCTTCATGAAACATCGATTTTAACATTAAAGAGTTTTAAACTTCTAACATCATAAAAATGAATAAAATCTGCCAAACAGTTCAAATATTCAGAGAGTTAATTGAAAAAATTCAAAACTTTCAACCAGCGGACTTCATTGAAGATCAAGGGTGTTTTGCATTTTAATTTCAGATTATCGAATTTTTCAATGTGCCATCCTTTGAAATGTACCGATGACCTATAAGGATGTAAATCTGTTATACTCCGCCATTTGAGATATATTGTTACGACCGTTTTGTACCTTTAGCTCATCGATCCCAATTCATCAAGAAAATAGATTATTAGGCTCCATTTCAGTGGTTATTGTGAAGTAATTTCCTCCTAAGGATAAAGGATAGGTGCGTTGGGTTTCTTCTTCTTCGCAGAATCTGTATATAACGTGTCGGTTGATACCAAACTTCCTCAAGTGCCTATTCATTCCTCAGTTTAGGGCTGTGAATTTCTTCCTGCTTCCTTTGGTGCGTTTTTATTGTTCAACATAAGTTCACGGACGAGCAGACCACTACACATAAGTTCTATTGTTACCAGAACTAATGCCACAAAAGGACCGATCAGTGGAGAATACCTAGTCCTTGCAAGGGCATCTAATTCTCCGTTGTCTTCTACTTCGGCATGTCCTGGGACCCCGAAAAATATGATTTTTTTGAGCAGCTTACCTATTTAGTTTGATTTTGCAAATCAGCACCATTATCGGGCTAATATTGTCTTTGTTTTCATGTATTATGTTTAAATTGAATTTAGTACATCTTTCTATTTCATGGATGTTAGATTGAAAGATATTGGTATATACTGCTTGAACCTTCTTGCGTCCGAGATCCATCAGGGTACCAACAATTAGCGTCCTCCTTGACATAGTGGTTTTTCCTTTTTTCACACTCCTGTTTTGTACTTAGGTTTGTTTAAATTGAAATATCGTACCTAGCCATGAGATCAGATATTCTTGCTATATAACAAAAGGCAACGCGACGTCAAGGTTATAAGAAGGGTGAGGCATTATATGTACTTTCTATTTCTTTGAACGTGACTGATGTCCGAAATGCGTGCTACCGTAGTTCAGATTCGGCACCTCTAGTACTTGTTCCCCTGAATATAGAGATATTTTCTCCCCTTCCAGTAGATATTTTCATAAATCCAGTAAGATTTTTCAACGAATTGGTGCACATATAGGTATACTATTCCTAGTGGTTAGGGCGTCCTACTATTATTTGCCACGCTACCTGGTTTTTCAATCGATAATAATATATCAATGGAATTGGTAAGTGGTTCGATGCCTTTTCCACATCACCCACTGAGTAGTATATATGGCAGAAATCAATTTATTGCTCTCTATAAGAGTTTACAGTAGGCCGATTTTTTTTCAGACACACGTCCGAAAGTTATCAACCCCCACAGTTATTGGGCACACCCCCTGCTTTATTTTGAAATTTCTTTTATTCTAATCAGGCAAGGGGAGACGTGGGCTGTTAGTGCCCTGTGGGAGGCGCCCAACGAGTACAAACTCACACCATCATATCAATAATACTTAAAGGTGTAAAGTGGTTTGTCCCCTCGTCTGCAACACTTAACGGATAAGGTGGACGTTAACTCTCCTCCTGTATGACTTGCTCATTTTCCTGACATAATAACACAAGCCTATATATTTCACGTTTGTATAATTTAATGTGGAGATGATACTACAACGGTACGTAAAGAGCGCATATTGTCGATTAGATAGGTCGATTTCAATATAATAAAGGGGAAAGACCTCTTCCATTTATGCTGATGTTTATTTTACTACCCCAAAAAGACGATTTTTCTAAGCTTTTGAGTACGAAGACAAATTAAGTATCATTATGCTTAATTTACTGTGCGTTAGTGGATAGAAATGGATTCGTTCGTGAAGAAACGGCAACGGAAAACTTCGACACCGCAGAAAATTAAACAGTCCAAAAAAAAAAAAAGTTTGATTAATTAAATAGTAGTCTTAGCATTCTATCCACCCCATCTTGTCCTAGCAGATGTGGTAAGAATAATAAAGAATAATGGAAAATATAAATGGAAAAATCGCTGGCAACAGACTTCTGCCAAATTATGACAGCGAACCGCAATGGTTTCTGATCCCGGGTCAAGAAGGGAAAGAGCATACTTATCAGGTTACGCATAGCTCATACTAGGCTTATACATGGGCACATTCTGGCGGGAAAGAGAGTGCGTGTGCCCACTATGTACCGAAATATTATGCTTTGAACATAAGTTACATGCTTTCCCGTATATTCGGTCGTCCTTAAAAGGACAATGAGGATCTTTAACGTTCGCACCTAGCCTATTCGGCCTTATCGGACGTTTTGATTCTCAAGATGAGAGCTGACGCACCTCCACATACGACAGAATGGTATTACTGTCGCAGCATTGGTGTAGAGGCAGCTCAGCCCAGAAGGGCCAAGACAACCTCGCTCCCCGCTTGCCCATTCCGAGTGGTCGGGTCTGCATTAAGCATCAGACTGTATGCCGCGCGCATAGGGCTACCTAAGCCGACATACATCAGCCTGGTCTCCCGCGCACTCCCTAGATTAAGAAGGATACTCTATTTCCCAGAGTATTGGGGCTTCTCTAGCGTAGAAACTACCGGATCCGCTCCGGCCGCGGTTTTGTTTAAAGTGGAATTGCTAACCACCACCTAGAGGAGTACCGCCTACGGTAAAAGCCTCCAATCGAACTCAGCCTACACCTACGTGCAAAGCATACTCGAGTAGGAGCAACCGATTCACTACCCGTTCCCATCCGCCACTACTCACGCATTCCGGGGACTTTTCAGCATAATTATAGCGTCCCCAACGCTTATTCGCAGCCGTCCGATCCGCCGGGTGTACAACGATGGTCATACGCAAGTTGCGTGCAAAGGTCACAGGTAGAAGACAGTCCCTTTTCTAAGTTACCGCCAGGGGCGTCACCACGTACCACTACGAATCCATTCCCAGTGTATCAGGGCCTGGATTTTGGAACATTTCTGAAACCCCGTAGTACAGATGGTTATGCACCCTCCCCCGTCTAAGCAGATAGGATCTGGTACCCTAACCCTCGTGTACCTCTGATAAGACTCCGCCGCCCATGCCGACCCGAGGCCGAAACGAGTACAGCTTGTGCTTTAGAGAGGTTGCCACGCCCTCAGGGCTGCACCAATATTTTATGCCCGGACATCCCCCATCTAAGTTGGGAGGGATCACAGGAAAGAGTGAAGGAACCTGGATTGAGAGAGGGACGTGGATGCGGACACGAGGTGCCCCTTTTCAGGGCCCCGAGCCTTAACCACATTATACAACCCGTCGTCGTTGTAGTTCCACATTGAGTGGGCTACAACTCCCTGGGTGGATGAACATATGTTACAACAGAAAACTAGAAGCTTGCGGTACAAGCTACGGAGTTCCTTCTGACCTATGCGTGGTATTACGGCACCGCAGTAAACACGGATCGCTGTTTCAGTACCTCAGGACTATAAAAGTTTTGAAATGTATATAGTATACGTTTATGTGATGTGTTTTATGTGTTGGTGTGAATGAAGGGATTATTACTCAGAGGAATATCGTGTGAGAATGTGTCATCTGGAGAATGAAAATATTTTACAAACGTGAAGGAGGGTTTAAACTCGGAATATTGTGTGCTGTGGGGGAGTGAATTTGACCAGACTTGCTTTGTTTATGGGGGGGTTGAAAGGATATCGACGTCATCGGAATATCCAATGCAAACGACTTTTGTTTGTGTTTTCTTATTCTTTTAACAGTAATTTGACAACCTGAGGTTCCTTCGAGAGGTTCAATAGTTAAGAAAACAGGAGGCAAAATATGAGATAGACAAAGATGCGCGAAAAAGAGAAAAAAAAAGAATTTTCTGTTTAAAGCTCAGAGGGGCGGCTATGACCACTCGATTTTGGTCAACCCATAAAGAATACATACTAAATTCTATCTACCTCGACGTAATTACACATTGATTATTACATTTTTTTTTTTAAAGTTGACACCTTTACACCTCTTACTGATAGAATAATCTCACTTTTTATTATTTAAAATGTGGTTCATGAGAAATCCATGGAAACATAGATTAATAGATGTTGCTAGCATAGTAAAGACTCGTGTCTTTCCAATGACCGTACGGCTTAACTAGTCGATGATTAGCAAAGATAAACAAAAAACAAATTTTTATACATAGTATTATTGCAGCCCTCATTTAAAGTATACTAAAAATAATATTTTATGATTAAGAGTTTTAAAAGAATTAAAGATTATGGTGAAATGCAATTTTCAAAATAAACTCTACAATACAATTCTATAAACTGCCTGGGGATTTAATGGGTTTTCATATTCTTGTGCTTTAAAATACTTTACAGTACTTTTAACACCACATTATCCAGAATTTTATTCTAACTTGCTGGTTTAATGCTTCAGAGAGGAAAAATACCATGCAAATATTCTTAATTTATCGTGCAATATTCTGAGTGATGCATATCCATATTTTCAAGTAGGATGGGAAACGAACATTTAAGGTTCTTCTTCTTATTCTTTAAATGGGGTTCAATCAGAATAGAACAAGAGGTTTAAATAGGACACAAAGTCAATTTCCTCCCAAACAAGGTGGACGTATTGCATTGGGAAAGTTCCATTTTCAATTGTTTTCGATTTGAGGAACTTTTAGAAAAGCTTCAAAAAGACAAATGGAATGGAAATGTGAGCGGAGCTCGTTTATAAATCTTCGCCCGAAATAAACGCACAACAAAAACGGGAAAAACGAGATTACTTTCTCGCATCTTGGATATAGTACTGTAGGCCTAAAAGAAAGTATAGATAGAAACAAAAAATATAATTAGTCTCAAAAACGATTATATCTCCATAACGATAATATAACCGTGGAAAGTACAGAAAAATTTTGTTTATCTATGTCACCCTATTTGTACATTTTAGGACTCAATACTATTCAACAGACTATAAGTGCGACTCGTATAGACTGAAATTAATTACATTCTAATTTAACTGATTATTAAAGAACCTTCTGGGTTGACTGTAATTCCAATTAAATTGTGATAAACACGAAAAAATTAAAATTTTAAATCCTTGAAAAACCAATAAAACCAGCTTCTGTGGGTTTGTTCTGCTACGTATTTAGTGTGATCACTGTTATCGTGATTTGGTTATGTTTTGCTCTTACGCGCGTGCGCTTACACATTAATATAATTAGGGATGGCAACGATATATCGATATATCATATATTTCTACATATATAGAGTATATTTTCATTGTTATATTTGAGTGTAAATACTTGAAATATATCGATATATTCGCTGAAATTTATCTATATATTTGTGTTTTTTTACGAAAACTTTACTATACATTTGTGTGTGATTAGTGATCGTTAGTCCATAATTATTCCAAAATCGTGAGATGCGGTCTGGTGTGATGTAGGTTTCAGAAAACTTGGATTGAATATAAAAAATATATTTTTTTTGCATTGTATAAATTCACTTTTTTCCACATCCCACATGTATTTGTTAAATTTAAACAATGTTTGTAAATCCCAGGCCCTGAAGATGATCTCAATAAAGATCGAAACGTTGGCACGATAAAGAAAATGTTTTTCTGAAGCCTACGTCACACCAGACCGCATCTCACGATTTCTGAATAATTATTTACTATTGGATTACATTTTTCTTATTTATTATTGGATAAATAATTAAAAAATATCCCTGTCAGTGCGTCAAATTGGACTAGAGACTGGTATGAGAGATCGATATATGTATATAATTTTAATTGTGTCTAAGCCGTGGTCCGTGGGTTAACCTAACTTACCATTCTGCCTTCTGTGCCGAAATCGGCATTTGTATCTACGCTTCCGCGCATAATTTTATGATGACAGTCAAAAAAGTGTTGTTTAGAAATATAATGCACCGGAAAAAGTAAAACAAGTGGCGACTTGTAAAACATGCTCGAAAGGCTTAAAAACCTTAATTTTTATAACCTTAATCTATTTTATTTGATATCTTATTTTATTACTGTTTAATAAGAATTATATAATTTTTACCGTTACTAATATCGTTCTTTTCTTCCAGTTGGGCTAGCTCATATGGACATGTTAAGATAGTTGTAATGTACCTTAACGATATATCGATATTTTTCTCGATATATCGGCTGTATAGTTTTCGATATTTCTGAAAACCGATATATCGATATATAGATTAAAGATTGCCAACCCTAAATACAATCATGTCATATTGCATTAATATAATATATATGTATGATTTTGCTACTATCGTATTTTACCCATAATGGTTTTTCTATTTAATAATATGAATATATTGGAGAAATCATGGGCTGATATTTCAGAAAGACAACCTGTTCTTTTTACAGATTATATATTTTAAAACAATAAATAAATATGTATTTGATTTGAACACGAAACTTCCATAGACTACTTTTCCAGTCACTTACAAATAAAGAATTTTGGACCCTGCGATGTTTTTTTTTTCAAATTTAAATCTGGATTAATAATCGTCGTTCTTGCTGAGGTCCCAACGTTCCAAATCGTCGACACATTGGCTCCCTCCACCGATAATCGGCTTGAATTGATTGTCATGCAATATTCAACACGGAAATTAAAACAGAGATATATATCCAGACATATTTTGATTTATGAAGGATTCCCAGGCGATAAACACTTAGTTATTAATTGGACGAAAGCAAGGGATGACAACAGGTGGAGTCCGGGACCAAGCATGCGTCGGCTTTACTATAAAAGTAGGCACCCCCTCGAAACGTTCACCATTTCCCCTGTTACGGTTGTTGTCATCGCATCTGAACCACCACCACCAAAGGTAGTAAACCATTCAAATAAAATTTCAACAAAAACTTAATTAAAAATCTCGTTTAAAACTGTTCCATCAAGATCACTCACAAATCTGGAGAGGTTGTCGAATTAAATTTTTATGAAATCTACATGATCAACTTATCAAAATCCTCTTTTCCATATAGATCAACAGAGGAAAATAAATTAAAATAATCATAAAAGTCTTACAATTTAAACCTATTACTTTTCAGCTTGTAAAACAAACTTCTCTAATACTTTTTTTTTTCAAATCAAAATAAAATAAATCCATTAAAGACTTTCTTGTGCGAGATGCAAATCATAGTGAATTCGATGCTCATGAATCACAAACGGTTCATCCTTCCAGTCATCGTGTGCCCCACTACAAATCCAATCATCATGCAATCAACTAATATTAAGCCATTCGATAATCAAATAATAAGAAAAGGTTCAATGCAATTTCAAATGCGATATAAATGCTAATTCTCTCGTTAGAACTGCATTAATATGATGATGGCCCTTTTGTTTCTCGCACTAAACATGTGCCCAGTTTACAAATAAATCCGGATCAAACTAATCAAACCATCAATTCAAAAAACGACAAGTTGTGAGTGATGCGGACTTTTTAGTATTGATTTAAACAATTAATTAAGGTTTTTAGTTGAGATAAAAAAGTCAATGGCACGAGCGGGATTCGAACCCACGATCTTCGGCTAGATACGCCGCTGCTCAACCACTTGAGCTATCGTGACCTCGATCCACTCGGACACTAACATCCCATCTCAACCCACCTTTCGAATTTTCCCTCCTTTTTGCCATTTTTCAACTTTTTTATCTCAACTAAAAACCTTAATTAATTGTAATGTATTAATAAGCGGGTTAATTAATAAGGTCAAGCGGACCGCGAAATTAGTGAATTTATTGATCTAAACTTTGTTTTTTGTCCTATGTCAAATCATGGATAAAGTAACAATTGTTATTATCAAATGTTTCGTTCAGATTTCCTTTGATTAAAAATTTGAAATAAAGCTTGTAACCTGTATTAAATATTTATATAAATGTTTATGTTTCTAAATAAAGTAAAGGTCAACATTTTCGCTAATTAAACCAAATAAAATAGTTAAAAGGATATCCCTTTAAATTACAATCAGTGCATACAAAGTCTCATTTAATTACCCTTTGATGTTTTATTAATTTAATAAAATCAAATTCATTTTAATTTATTTTAAAATAAACCAATCATGACGCTTTCATGTGATAAAAATACCGAAAATATAAAAAATTAAGCCCCAGTTGAAACTACCGATGAAAAATCTCCAGCCACAACGTACAAAGTCCAATAGATTCTTTGTATTTTTTTACGCGAACCTCCTGCCAATAAAGGATGAAACAAACCCCATCCGGAAATTAAATATAAGGATTGTAAGAGAAAAACCGATTGTTTTTGTTTATAAGGGCACAGTAGTTATCCAGTGGTGTTCATTTAACGTCACGTATCCGCCTTTCATACTTGCTTTCCAATTTTATTGAAACCGTTTATCGACAAATATTAATAAAGTACGGAGTTAACTTCGTATGAGATTTCGAAATTTGGTCAAGCTTTTATTAATATACAGATTTGATATTTTTGGTAGACCTTGGGAAGGGGTTGATTTTTTTATTTGCACAATACGTTATTTCCGTCCCTTTAATTACAAACTATATGTTATCAAGTTTATTGACAAATGCTTCATCTAAAATTATAAACATTTATTTTTATATTGTGTCTTTATTGAACTTAAATATCATACAAATGTTTAATACGTTAAAGAAAACTTCCATTTTTACCATATAAGGAAGTATTTTTTCTGTAAGAATTTTCTGAGATCACGTTTATTGGCATCATCTATCTTTAAGAGTAAACTCTTGAAACCGGAGGAAAACCGATTCTTCACAGATTGGAATTTACTTTATCAAAGCGATCCAGGAGAATCGCGTTGACAAGGTATCAGTAAATATCAAATAAGTCACGCTGTCGTTCCCAAATAAGCTTATTTGTCAAGTTTCCTTCAAAATATTTTGTCCCAAAGGTAAAACATTGTAAATCAAATGCTTCAAATATTTTTAAAACTCTGTACGATAAGAACTCCTGACAGATTATTCGATACGTGGGATTGCAAGTTTTTTGAAAACCCTTTTGTTCCATTTTATCGAGTTAATCTTAAATATTGTATAATTACCTGGGCGAATGGGGAAAAGCTAATCGCTAGGGAAATTAGTTTTTTCATTGAATACGAAAAACTTTGTTTTTGGCCACACAGCTACTTTTTTTAAGCGGTCGCATGGCTACAGGCACTGTTAACGTCCCATCCCATTCAGCAATAAGCAACCCCTGTGCTTTCTTATCAGGATCCATGATTGCCTTTCCCTGAATCTTGAAAAGGATTTAGAAAATTGTCGATCGGACGATACCCAATCGCGTCGCGTCTCCCATTGAGAAAATTCCAACTGGCTTCTTAAGATTCAGCCTTATCTGTAGAAAATATTTTTTCAGCCATTCTCAACGGCCAGAAAAAAATATTAAATCTTTAATTTTATCATTGAATTATTCTAATTTTCTTATCTTACTTTAGTTTCACATTTGATTTGATTCCTTCAGATCTTCCTATATGTTAATTAAGGAAGGAAAAGGAGAAAATTGTTATAGAAACTGTAATTATCGTATATTATATTTAAATTGAGCCTGTTCAGACTTACTTGGCAAGTCGCAAAGTTTCATTCCAACTGCCTAATACAATAATTAAAAGGTTTAATCTGTCTCTAACTTCAACATTTCTGTACAGGATTGGAGGCTATTAAGTCGAACAATGGAATTGAAGCTGCGGCAATGAGGTTCATGCAAATGTGCACTATGGCAATTTTATTAACGTCTAATTCACCAAACCGTTTACAGCTCCGATTCAAGGCTAATTAAAGGGTCATAACTAATTACAGGCCCCGTTAAATGAACAATTTGCGGGAGTTTTAACAATCGGCCAATTCCACCCTTAAGCCCTTTGTCGATTACGACACTTTTAACGCACCTGTTTCTTTTAGTTCACACCTGTTTTCTCAATTTGAATGTGTCAATTGGATAACAGTGTAATGGTATCATTTGATTTTATGAATACTCGTTTTTAAGTGTAAAAAATTATGACGGTATACATTTGGCATACTCGCCATAATAGATGCCCAAAACAACAACATAAACTGCATACTGACAGACCAGAACTCATTACACAAAAACATACAATTAATAGGGCAGAAATAGAAAACAACAGTAGAAATTTCCTAGACCTAAAACTTACCGAACCGAACATAAACTATACAATTCGACATATACAGGAAAGCAACAGGCTAACATACACAAAAACTGTCACTAAATGGACCAAATTCTTGTACATAGGAAAGAAAGGTACAAATCCATGTAACAAATTAGAAATTAACAGTACTGAAGGATTCCATTCCAAATACATCGGTCAGACAGGACGAAAACCAAAAGCCAGATTCAAAGAACATATACCATCCTTTAAGGACACGAAAAAAAATCAAAGTACGCGACTTACCTCAAAAGAGTACTTGCTGGCGGGAAAGAGACAGTTTGGTTCCCGATTACTCATCGTCACCAAGACAAGAGGATCTTTAACGTCCGCACCTGGCTCATGGCCTTATCGGACGTTTTGATTCTGTCGGTACCCTGATAGTATATACCTAGAGAATCAATATTTTACAACGCAGAAAACCAGAAACCTGCACAATGAGCTTCGTTGCGCATGCTATCAGAACTTTTAAATGTACATTCTGAAGTTGTAGGAACATAATTATTAGGGTGAATCAAGAGAATCCTGACCCTCGAAGAACAATAAGTACTCTGGGGTTAGAGTTAGATGTATGGAGAGTGATAGTAATTTATTAGCATGGATGGTTGCGGTTTAAATCCGCCTCGAGGAATATCGAGCACCCTAGGGGAGAGAATGTGCCAACTTGTCTTTTGCTGGAAGGTGAAACGATACTGGCGTCGTCGGAAGATCCATAATGATCGTCCAAATTTAGGATATAGGACCAGAATTGTGAAACACCAAAAACTACTTCTCGGAGGATGTAGGGTTCTAGGAAGAAAATCTAATGACCATTGTCTTTATTGATAGATAAGTTGTTAATGTAGATAATGTCTTCTCTAAAATCAACATAGAATTTTCATCATATTTTCAAAAAATAACATCCTGATTGAACTCTCTCCACATTGTTGGTCTTCAGCATCTAGAAATTGCAAAGGGCGTTGATTAGCGGGTTGTTTTTGCATCTTCAGAACCTCTTGGTCTATATTCGTACTTTGAGGTTCCTTTGCTTCTCGCGAAAACTGCATCCTCATAGCCAACCGCTAGGTGATAACCCTAGTCCATTTAGGAGAATGAACTAGGATTTTCTGCCGTTCAAACCGAAGCTCTCAGTGAAGGTAGGTGTTCTAGGAAGAAAATCTGGTGACCGTTTGCCGTTATTGATTGCTTTGTGTGGGAATTTATTGCGTCTTCTTTAAAATCGGTGTAATATTTTTATCCGTATTTAATTAGTGGAGAGAGTGTCAACCTCAAGCATCGTAGAGCGTTCATCAGCAGATTGTTTCTGAATCTTCGTAGATCACGATCGATGTTCGTTCTGCGTGCTTTGTTCTTGAAAGTAAGATTCTACTAATACGTTTATCTTTTTATATTAGGTTTTGCAAAAACCCTGACCCTGAATATCTAACTGATCCTGTTGACGCCCTGGATAAAATAATGAATTAAAAAACTGCTTAGTTACAAATGTGGAGCATATATAATTTGGATATAATTAAAAATTAACGTCAAAATTATATGCATAATATGCAGGATGTCTTTTTTAGATGGCCCGGCTGAATTTCTCTTAAACCAATGACACTAAAAAAAAAAAGGTGTTTAATAATTTTTAGTCTAGTTTCAAATTTTTACCTTTCTTGGAGAAAAATTATACGGT